GCAGATTCTAAGGCCAACAATCCGAGGGGGAGTTTGTTGGTGCAACCCTATGGCTTGCACTCAGCTTGTCGTCCTTGTTTGTGTGTGTGCATGCATGGCATGGAATGAATTGTGAGTCTATGTCATTGCTATCCAGTGCTTGTGTGTGTGTGTTTGAATGGTGTATCACAATGTGGTTTGTGTCGGTCAAGACATTAGCGAGTTTCTACAACTCGCATGTCAAGTCGTCGTTTGTGTGTCGCATGTGTTTTTTCTATTTTGTCGAGTGTGAAGTGTCCATCGTGTCGCAGGTGTGTGCAGCAAGCCCCCATCAACTCAAGAAGAATTTATCTTGCAGATCCAAGAACAAGAGCTCAAGATTTCAAGCCCAATGGACGCGGATAAATATTAAATAGTGAAAATAGTAACGTTACTTCGTGTAGTGTTACATTTCACTTGGTGTAGCCCCTTGGAGGGTTGGTTTCGAGACTCTTCATGGTTGGGGACTCTGTGGTGGTGTACCACCAACCTGAACCTCGGCTCTTGGGGTATGTAGAGGCTGGGAACCATCTCCCTCTCGAACTCTTCTTGCTAAGTTTGTACTCCTAAGACTATAGTGGCTGCTTTACCTCCTGCCAGTCAAACCGCCATAGCGTCGTCAAATCTTCATGGAATTTCATGATTCAACTTGCTGCTGATAGACGACAGCAACGCACTCCAGATCCAACTTACAAATCACCGTTTGATTCAGTGACCAGATCATTATCAATATTTGAAGCCGTCTGACGGAAATCCGACTGTGCTCTCTATCTCTCATTATAGGCACATCTAAGCCTATTGTGGTTTATAACACTTCCTCCCTCTGTTCTTACTCCCTCTGTTTTTCCTCCCTTTGTTCTTACTCCCTCTGTTCTTCCTCCCTCTTTTCTTCCTCCCTCTGTTCTTACTATCTCTGTTCTAACTCCGTCTGTTATTACTCCCTCTGTTCTTACTACCTCTTTTCTTCCTCCCTCTATTCTTACTCCCCCTGCTCTTACTCCCTCTGTTCTTACTCCCTCTGTTCTTACTCCCTCTGTTCTTCCTCCCTCTGTTCTTCCTCCCTCTGTTCTTCCTCCCGCTGTTCTTCCTCCCTCTGTTCTTCCTCCCTCCGCTAGTTCTCCCTCTGTTCTTCCTTCCTCTGTTCTTCCTCCCTCTGTTCTTCCTCCCTCTGTTCTTACTACCTCTGTTCTCACTCCCTCTGTTCTTACTCCTTCTGTTCTTCCTCCCTCTGTTCTTTCTCCCTCTGTTCTTAGTCCCTCTGTTCTTCCTCCCTCTGTTCTTCCTCCCTCTGTTCTTCCTCCCTCTGTTCTTACTCCCTCTGTTTTTACTCCATCTGGTCTTACTCCCTCTGTCCTTACTTCCTCTGTTCTTCCTCCCTCTGTTCTTCCTCCCTCTGTTCTTACTTCCTCTGTTCTCACTCCCTCTGTTCTTACTCCCTCTGTTCTTTCTCCCTCTGTTCTTGCTCCCTCTGTTCTTACTCCCTCTGTTCTTCCTCCCTCTGTTCTTCCTCCCTGTGTTCTTACTCCCTCTGTTCTCAATCCCTCTGTTCTTACTCCCTCTGTTCTTACTCCCTCTGTTCTTCTTCCCTCTGTTCTTCCTCCCTGTGTTCTTCCTCCCTCTGTTCTTCCTGCCTCTGTTCCTCCCTCTGTTCTTCGTCCTTGTGTTCTTACTCCCCCTGTTCTTACTCCCCCTGTTCTTATTCCCTCAGTTCTTACTCCCTCTGTTCTTACTCCCTCTGTTCTTACTGCCTCTGTTCTTACTCCCTCTGTTCTTCCTCCCTCTGTTCTGCCTCCCTCTGTTCTTACTCCCTCTTTTCTTACTCCCTCGGTGCTTCCTCCCTCTGTTCCTCCTCGCTCAGTGTGTTTCTCCTCCCTCTGTTCTTCCTGCCTCTGTTCTTTCTCTGTTTTTCCTCCTTCTGTTCTTATTTTTTTGTTCTTACTGGTGTCGTGCGAGCTGGCGCCGTGCGCTCTGGCGCCTTGCGTGCCAGCCCGTTTTGCGCTGGCGCCTTGCGTGCCAGCCCGTTTTGCGCTGGCGCCGTGCGCGCTCGCGCTTTTAGCACAAGCTCCGTGCGCGTTTTGGTGCCTTTCGTGCTGGCGCCTTTGTCGTCCCCTCCATTCCCCCCCCTTTGTGGTCCCCCATCCGTCCCTCCCCCTTTGTCGCCCCCCCCCCCCCCATTCCCCCCCCTTTGTTGTCCCCCCTCCCTTCCTCTCCCTTTGCCATCCACCCTCCGTCCCTCCCCCTTTGTCGTCCCCCTCCGTTCCCCCCCCCCTTTGTTGTCCCCCCTCGTTCCTCCCCCTTTGCCGTCCCCTCCCTCCGTCCCTCTCCCTTTGTCGTCCCCCCTCCGTTCCTCCCCCTTACTCGTCCCCCCTCCGTTCCTCCCCCTTTGCCGTCCCCCGTCCGTTCCTTCCCCCTCCTTCCCCCCCCCTTTTGCCGCCCCACTCCCTTCCTCCCCTTTGCTGTCCCCCCTCTGTTCTTCCCCCTTTGTCGTCCCCCATCCGTCCCTCCCCTTTGCCGTCCCCCCTGTGTTCCCCCCCTTTGTCGTCCCGTGTCCGTTCTTCCCCTGTCGTCCCCTTCCTTCCCTCCCCCTTTGTCGTCCCCCCTAGCTTCCTCCCCCTTTGCCACCCCCCTCCGTTCCCCCCTCCTTTGTCGTCCCCCCTCCGTTCCCCCCCTTTGCTGTCCCCCCTCCCTTCCTCCCCGTTCGCCATCTCCCCTCCGTTCCTCCCGTTTTGTCGTCCCCCATCCGTCCCTCCCCCTTTGTCGTCCGCCCTCTGTTCCTCCCCTTTGTCGTCCCCCTCCGTTCCTCAAACTTTGCCGTCCCCCTTCCCTTCTTCCTCCATTTGTCTTTCCACCTCCGTTCTTCCCCTCATTGTCTCCCTCATTCCTGTTTATCCCCCTTCTGTCTTCCCCCTCCATTCCCCCCTCCGTCCTTCCATCCTCCATTCTCCCGCCCTCTGCTCTCCCCCCCTCTGCCGTTCCCTTTCCATTCTTCCTCACCAACGCTCTCCCACCCCCCCCCTTTCCTTTACCCCTTGCGTTCTTCTTACCTAATCCCCCCTCTGTTTTATTGCCTTTGCAATCTGTATTCTTACAAGCCCAAGTGTAGCCCATTCTCAGGTATACATTACTCTCCCTCTCGCTGTTTTTTTGTTCTTCCTCCATCCATTCTTCCCCTGTCTGTTTGCCTCTGTTCTTCCCCTCCATTCTTTCCCGCTCCTATCTTCCCGCCTCCATTCCCCCCTCAGCTCTTTTTAACCATTCTTCCTCACGTTCTTCCAACCTGTGGTCTTCCCTCTCCATTCTTACTCCGCCTATTCCCTTTGTGTGACCCTCTCCCTCCCTGTGCTGCTCTCCCTTGCTCCTTCTTCTCCTTTCTGTATTTGATTTTCCCCTACACTTGTTTCTACCCTGCGTTTGCTTCTCATTTCAGTGGTTGCTTCTCTGTTGCACTTGCTGCTCCCTTCTCCTTGTCCGTCTTTCTTGCCTTCGTCTCCGCTGTAATGTTTTTTTCCCTCGCATCCCCACCTATTCGCTTTAGTTTCTCTCTGGCTGCTACTGTCTCAAGCTCTTCCCTCTTATTTTCTCCTCTTATTATCCTCTCCAGTCATATTATCACGTTCAAGTTTGTCACACTCCAAGAACATTCCAAGTCATCGAAATTCAAGCCATCACGTTCCAAGACTTCTCATTCCAAATCCAGTCAAAGCATTTATTCATGGATATTTGAAGTTGACATGGTAATATTTTCGTGCTACCCATTATATCTTCGTATTTGACTTGCGTGCATTTGCATTGTTGTTTTGTGATTTTTTATGCCGCGTTGCTTGTGTATGTGCGTTTGCATGGTACCATTATTGACAACGTGCGTACCAGTTTATTGGCTTGTGTTTTGCACGGTGTTGCGTTGCGTTGTGCTTGCAGGGGAAGGATGCTGACTATGCCTAGTGCATCACACAATTTGCGATTGTCGTTGCCGGTTTGGGGAATTGCTTCTCATTCCGTGCATGTCAATCTCTATTGTAGCACGAAAGCATTGATGCATTTCTTCCTTTGCAGTCACTATTGCACTGTTTTTGTTTGTTAGCAAGTGTTGTACATCGTTGTGTATTGTGTGTGTGTGCAGGGAAACGATGCTGATTATGCCGAGTGCATCATACAACGTGCGATTGTCGTTGCCCATAACGGGCATGTCAATCTATAATGTAGCACGAACGCATTGATGCTTTCGTTTACTGCATTCTCGATCTTTTGTTGTGTTGTATTGTTGTCGTATCGAGCCAAGCCGTTACATGAGTGTGTGGGTAAGATGCGTTCTGTATACATGCTTTGAAAATGGTGGTGGTGATGTTGTGGTTCAGTCATTCTCCGCCATAATTATCGACGGCGAATGATTCGAGCCTCTCTCATCATTCATAGAAAGCTTAGAAAATCGTTACAAAACTCTATGTTGCTCAATTATTATGTCGTCTCCATTATCGACCACATAATAATTGCGAAAAACATAGATTTTTTTATCCAAGCTAGAAAGGTATTTTGAGACGCTAAGTTTCTGATTTACTCTAGAAGAAATCAACAAACAAACGGATACGTAGAGATTCTCTATCAGAGAACGTTAACATTCAGATTATAGACAATCAATTTTACATGGAAAAAAAAACCAGTGTTTTTAGAGTAAGCGACGCATTAAACCTGGAAAAAATATGTAGTGCGGGTGATTAGGCCGACTAAACCAAGTCGTCCGAAATCGGTCCACCGACCGATTATAAAGGGTTGCTACACAACCCAAAATTTCTTACACGTTCTATAGGACTAGTCTTGCTATAACCCCTAATGAAGGATGAGAACAGTTATTGAACATACTAGATTCAGTACAAATTTTGATTGTCGAGTCCGAGGCCTTATCGCGTACGAACCACCACCCCCAACCCAACCCCTTGTGGTTCAAGAATCGCCTTGTGTGTTCCCCTCCCTCACCCGCCTGCCTGACATGTCCGTCTGGCAGCCGCAGCACCCAGTGCCTCCTCCTAGACTCCTATCCGACTCCCCCTCCCCTTAGACTTCTTGCCGTCCTTCTCCCATGCTGTACAAAGGAGCATCCCTCCCTAAGAACAACCAAGCGGCTCCGCCTGTCGACGAGTAGGTTTCTTGGTCGTCTCATCCCCACCGCTTCCGTTTCGGCCCAATTCCCAGTTTCCGCCACTCGCTCTCCGACTCAATCGCGTCCTCTAGTAGCGGAACACGGGGCATCGTCGTCGTCCCGTCATGCCCAGGTGCGCCTTGAATTGCGATGTCTCATCCTCATGTGGCACATCCCAACATTCTTGAATCGTCTCGGCTCGACTTTCTCAATTTCGCGCCTTCCCCCCGTTCCGCGGGAATCACGATTCCGCCTCCTGCTTCCGCCTCTCTGCGTACTGATTGTTCCCCACCTCCGCAGCCCCGTTGTTCCGTTGACTCAAGTTTTCACACACCCCGCGACGTCGCGCCCCCAGGTAGTTCCGCCACCGCCTCTCCGTACTTCTGCTTCCGCCAGCCCCTGCAGCTGCTGCGCCGCCGCTCCCCGCGCCCACCGTCTTCTCGCGCTACCTCTCTTCCCGCCGCTCCCGCCTGGATCGCAATCTTCGCCACATTCTTCGCGAATTCGCCGCATGACCACCGATTGCGCTGCTTATTAGAAACGAGCGTCGCAGCTCTCACCATGACTCGCGACGACGGCGACGACGGCGACAATTGCAGAGACGTCGCCATGCTCGAGTCGCACAGCGCGTGGCGAAACATGATGGCGACGGTGAGGCATTCCCCTCATGACAGCCCCTGGCGCGACATCAAAGGCTGGATCGACGCCGCAACGCGGCATCACGCGCCAGCAGTGCCGCCTGAAACCGTGGCCGCTGCGGCATCGTGGCGACGGCAGGGGGAGAAGCCCTCAGGCTCGCTCTCGCTCGCCCTGCTCGGCCTTCCCTTCCTCCTCCTCCTCCTCGTCCTCTGCTCGCTCTTCCTCTTCTCCCTCAACCAAGCCGGCTCCTTCGGCTGGGATAGATATAGCTTGGCCGCGGACGGTTATGCTGACTACAGCGGCAGCAGCAGCAGCGGCGGAAACGGCAACGCCAACAGCAGCAGCACCACCACCATCAGCACGAGCGGCGGGTACCGCCGCTCCCCGTTCCGCTCGCACCTGCACCACGCCGTCACTCTCAAATGGCGGCCGGCGCGGGACGTGAGCGGCGGCATGAGCGGCAGCGGTGGCATGGGCGGCAGGGGTGGCATGGGCGGCAGCGGTGGCATGGGCGGCAGCGGTGGCATGGGCGGCAGCGGTGGCATGGGCGGCAGTGGGTGGGAGGCACCACAGGTCGGGCCTATCGGCGCTGGTCGCACCGACATAGGCATCAATTCTGTAGCAGGCGGAGGGGCAGCGGGCGGAGGGGCAGCAGGCGGTAGTGCTGGTGGTGATGGTGATGCCGTTGATGCTGCTGCCAGCAGTGAGACAGGCGACAGTGGTCTGACTGCTGAATCAAGGCCAAGTGAAGAGGCGAGTGATGTCCCCCTCTCCTCCCACTCAACCCCTCAAGATAACAGCCTAGGGCGAGGGCAGCTCACCCCTCCTGCTGCGGGCTCTGCAGTCCCGGTGTTGCAAGGGCTCGCTCTGGCGTCGCTGCCGCCTCCCTCTGATGTACCATCGCCCGCAGCACCCTCGGTATCAGCAGGAGCGGCATCGTCAGCAGCATTGGCATCATTCGCAGCGGCAGTACCTTCAGAACCACTCGCATCACAATCCCCGAACTCCACAGCGCCACCAGTCTCCCTATCTCCCCCCTCCCTTTCACCACCGTCCCTACCAGCCCCCGAAGCATCATTGCCAGCAGAAGCAGCAGTGGCAACATCAGCAGCACAAGTAACTTCAACATCGTCATTAACAGCACCACCCATAACGTCATCAGTACCTTCCCAATGCACATCCCCCTCCTCCCCATCCTCTCCCTCCACCCCCATGGGCTCCCTCTACATACCCATGGCTACCATCCCTGGATGGAAAGACCCTCCCACTCCATATGATGCCCCCTTGGCCAATGCCAGCCTGGCGGCGGACGTGGCGGCTGTCGTGGTGTCTGACGCGGCGGCTGATCTGGTGGCTGACGTGGCGAAGAGCGGGGGCATTCCCAGCGAGCCCCTGCTGGGGTCTGCTTGGAGCCCTGGCGGCAGGAAGTATCTCCTGGTGCTCTGCTCCACCGGCGGGGTGAGTCGCTCGCACTGGTTCATTTGAGGTTGGGGTCTTGGGAAAGGGGATGTTTGGGGGGAAGGTGGGTGAAGGTTGGGGGGAAGGGGGTGGGGGGGGGGAGGAGGGGGGGGAAGAGGGGGGAAAGGAGGGTGGAGAAGAGAGCGAATGAAAACATGTCAGGGCATTTCCGTGAGCTTTTTCTTTCATTGCAACCCTCACCCCCTTCCCCCCCCCCCCCCCCTTCCCCCCCCGCCCTCCCACCGCCCCTTTCCCGCACGTACACACGCTTATCCAACCTCCGCTTGTGTTTGCGAGTTCGTATTGTTGGCATCGGATACACGGTTCCACGGCTGGTGTCCCTTGATTCTGCTAATGGGCCACCGTGCGCTTTCTTTCTTCGGCTGTTCATCCCCTCCGTTCATCCCCTCCGTCTATCCCCTCCGTCTATCCCCTCCGTCTATCCCCTCCGTTCATCCCCTCCGTTCATCCCCTCCGTTCATCCCCTCCGTTCATCCCCTCCGTTCATCCCCTCCGTTCATCCCCTCCGTTCATCCCTCCGTTCATCCCCTCCGTTCATCCCCTCCGTTCATCCCCTCCGTTCATCCCCTCCGTTCATCCCCTCCGTCTATCCCCTCCGTCTATCCCCTCCGTCTTTCCCCTCCGTTCATCCCCTCCGTTCATCCCCTCCGTTCATCCCCTCCGTTCATCCCCTCCGTTCATCCCCTCCGTTCATCCCCTCCTTTCATCCCCTCCGTTCATCCCTCCGTTCATCCCCTCCGTTCATCCCCTCCGTTCATCCCCTCCGTTCATCCCCTCCGTTCATCCCCTCCGTTCATCCCCTCCGTCTATCCCCTCCGTCTATCCCTCCGTCTATCCCCTCCGTTCATCCCCTCCGTTCATCCCCTCCGTTCATCCCCTCCGTTCATCCCCTCCGTTCATCCCCTCCGTTCATCCCTCCTTTCATCCCCTCCGTTCATCCCCTCCGTTCATCCCTCCCTTCATCCCCTCCGTTCATCCCCTCCGTTCATCCCCTCCGTTCATCCCCTCCGTTCATCCCCTCCGTTCATCCCCTCCGTTCATCCCCTCCGTTCATCCCCTCCGTTCATCCCCTCCGTTCATCCCCCCCCTCCGTTCATCCCCTCCGTTCATCCCCCCTCCGTTCATCCCCTCCGTCTATCCCCTCCGTCTATCCCCTCCGTTCATCCCCTCCGTTCATCCCCTCCGTTCATCCCCTCCGTTCATCCCCTCCGTTCATCCCCTCCTTCATCCCCTCCGTTCTCATCCCTCCGTTCATCCCCTCCGTTCATCCCCTCCGTTCATTCCCCTCCGTTCATCCCTCCGTTTCATCCCTCCTTTCATCCCCTCCGTTCATCCCCTCCGTTCATCCCCTCCGTCCTATCCCCTCCGTCTATCCCCTCCGTCATCCCCTCCGTTCATCCCCTCCGTTCATCCCCCTCCGTTCATCCCTCCGTTTCATCCCCTCCGTTCATCCCCTCCGTTCATCCCCCTCCTTTCATCCCCTCCGTTCATCCCCTCCGTTCATCCCCTCCGTTCATTCCCCTCCGTTCATCCCCTCCCCTCCGTTCATCCCCTCCTTCATCCCCTCCGTTCATCCCCTCCGTCTATCCCCTCCGTTCATGTCCCCTCCGTTCATCCCCTCCGTTCATCCCCTCCGTTCATCCCCTCCGTTCATCCCCTCCGTCATCCCCTCCGTTCATCCCCTCCGTTCATCCCCTCCGTTCATCCCCTCCGTTCATCCCCTCCGTTCATCCCCTCCGTTCATCCCCTCCGTTATCCCCTCCGTTCATCCCCTCCGTTCATCCCCTCCGTTCATCCCCTCCGTTCATCCCCTCCGTTCATCCCCTCCGTTCATCCCTCCGTTCATCCCTCCGTTCATCCCCTCCGTTCATCCCCTCCGTTCATCCCCTCCGTTCATCCCCTCCTCCGTTCATCCCTCCGTTCATCCCCTCCGTTCATCCCCTCCGTTCATCCCCTCCGTTATCCCTCCGTTCATCCCCTCCGTTCATCCCCTCCGTTCATCCCCTCCGTTCATCCCCTCCGTATCCTCCGTTCATCCCTCCTTCATCCCTCCGTTCATCCCTCCGTTCATCCCTCCGTCATCCCCTCCGTCTATCCCCTCCGTCTATCCCCTCCGTTCATCCCCTCCGTTCATCCCTCCGTTCATCCCCTCCGTTCATCCCTCCGTTCATCCCCTCCTTTCATCCCCTCCGTTCATTCCTGCCCTTCCACCGCCCCTCCCCTGCTCACTGCACCTTCAGTTGCACCTCCCCTCCATCCCTACCTCCCCCCACCCCCCCTTCCCTCTCTCCCCCTCCCCCCCACCCCCCGTCCCTCCCCCCAGATGTCCAACCACCTCTTCTGTCTGCGCGAGTTTGCTCTGCTGGCAGGAGCGCTCAACAGAACGCTCGTTGTGCCCATGGGGCGAGATGAGGTGAGGGCATGGGGCGAGATGAGGTGAGGGCATGGGGCGAGATGAGGTGAGGGCATGGGGCGAGATGAGGGGAGGGCATGGGGCGAGATGAGGGGAGGGAGGGCAATGGGGGGGGCGAGATGAGGGGAGGGCAGGGCAGATAGGTGAGGGGGGGCGAGATGAGGTGAGGGCATGGGGCGAGATGAGGGGAGGACATGTGCTCCGTGCAAGAAACATTCTTGTTTTCACATTCATTCTTCCATACCCCTTTCACTCCACCCCCCAACCCCCCCCCCTCCCCATTATCATCCCGCTCCTCATGCCAACTCCTAGCCCCCACCCATCCCCCATCCCCCTCCCCTCCCCCCCACGTTCGCCCTCGCTAACCATTTCTCAAGGACAGGTTTTCCTTCTCTCTTTCTCTCCACACATCAGCTCAGCATGCCCCTCTCCCTCGCCGTGGATGTGGAGCTGCCCTTGAGCCATGCTTTCATTTGTCCTGGCTTTCACGGTTCACCGCACCCCACCCATCCGCCCGTCATCCCTTCCCCCCTCCATCAGCTCAGCATGCCGCTTTCTCTTGCTGTCAACCTGCCCTTGAGCCATTCTTTGCATTCTCCTGACTTTCACCCCCACCCAACCCAACCACCCTTCCCCCTCCCGTCCACCAGCTCAGCATGCCCCTGTCCCTCGTGTTCGACCTGCCCTTCCTGCGTGCCTGCTACGGCCCCAAGACGGCCCTCACTCTCGACGAGTACAAGCAATATGTGAGAGACCCACGCCATGTTATGCCATATCCAATTGCTGCCTGCCTAGCTTGCATGCACCCGGACGTTTTTCGTGCCTGCTATGGCTTGACGAGTACAAGCAATAAATAGGTGAGACCAGAGTGCTGTGCCATGTGGTGTTGTTAGATGTGGGGTGATGTGATGTGATGTGATGTGATGTGATGTGAGGCGATGTCATGTCATCTCATGCCACTTCATCGTCTCGTGTCGTGTCACACTGTTTCATACCATGCCTTACTGCTGCAGTGCAGAGCTAGTTGTCCGCACAGCACCATGAGGGGGGTGCGGTGCAGGCGGGTATGGGGCTAACTCAAGCTGGTCCATCCATCCTTATTCCCGGGACAGGTGCACGGGACCACCCACCTGTCCCGTGCACGTGGGCAAGGGCAAGCTGCAGCCTGCAGGCCACCCACGTGCTGTGCCTTGCCTCGCCAAAGGCTATCAGCCTGTCACATCGTGCCTGACTCTTGTGTGCCTACCCCACCCTCCTGCTACGCTGCCTGTCCCTGCCCCTACCACGCACCTGCCCCTTGCAGGTGGGCAAGGGCAGTCTGGAGGTGACCCACGTGGTGTGCCTTGTGCGGGGATGCCACATCGAGCCAGACGCTGGTGAGATGCTCAAGGGGACGGGATGGGATGGGAGGAAAGGGGTGGGGAAGGAAGGTGGGGTGGGATGGGGAGGGGATGTGGATGTGTGGGTTGGGGGGGCATGTGGGGGGAGGGAAGAAGGGGAAGGGGGCGAAGAGAGGATCAGGGTGAAAGAGGAGGAGGGTAGGGTGTGGTGCGGGTGACCCAGGTGGTGTGTGTGCAGGTGGGTGACCCGGGTGGTGTGACTGGGCCCCCCTCACCGCGCCCCCTCACCTCACCTCCCCCTCCCCCCTCTTCCCCTTTATCAAAAGCATCTGGCAGCCACTTACACAGCGAACAAGGGCCGCATTAAAGTGACGTTGTGACATTGCCTGCTCTCTTTCCCCCCCTCCCCCTCCCCTCCTGCTACCCTCACTCTCCCCTTCCCGCTCCTGCTCTCTCCCCCCCTTCACCCCTCCTTTCCACCATTATTAGCCGCACGTAGCAACCACTTCACAGCCAGAAAGTGTCGCATTGAAGTGAAGAATGTGACATTGCCTGCTCACTTCCCTCCTCTCCCCCCCCCCTCCCCCTGCCCCTACTGTCCACCTTTATCAGCCGCACTCAGCGGCCAGTTCATACAGCCAAGCCAACAAGGACTGCATCAAAGTGACAAATGCAACATTGCCTCCCTTCTCCCCCCCCCCCCCTCTCCTCCCCCTGCCGCCCTCCCTCCCCCTCTCCCCCCTTTTTCTTCATCAGCAGCTTTTATGCAGTCAATTTACTGTCTGTCAATTTACTGTCTGTCCAATTTACTGTCTGGTCAATTTACTGGTCTGTCAATTTACTGTCTGTCAATTTACTGGTCTGTCAATTTACTGTCTGTCAATTTACTGTCTGTCTGTCCAATTTACTGTCTGTCAATTTTACTGTCTGTCAATTTACTGTCTGTCAATTTACTGTCTGTCAATTTATCTGTCTGTCAATTTACTGTCTGTCAATTTACTGTCTGTCAATTTACTGTCTGTCAATTTACTGTCTGTCAATTTACTGTCTGTCAATTATGCTAATACTGTCTGTCAATTTACTGTCTGTCAATTTTACTGTCTGTCAATTTACTGTCTTGTCAATTTACTGTCTGTCAATTTACTGTCTGTCAATTTACTGTCTGTCAATTTACTGTCTGTCAATTTACTGTCTGTCAATTTACTGTCTGTCAATTTTGTATCTGTCTGTCAATTTACTGTCTGTCAATTTACTGTCTGTCAATTTACTGTCTGTCAATTTACTGTCTGTCAATTTACTGTCTGTCAATTTACTGTCTGTCAATTTACTGTCTGTCAATTTACTGTCTGTCAATTTACTGTCTGTCAATTTACTGTCTGTCAACAAGGGCCGCGTCAAACGTACAGTTCCTGATCTCGCTCCCCCACCCTTCCCCCACCCTTCCCCACCCTTCCCCCACCCTTCCCCCACCCTTCCCCCACCCTTCCCCCCCCTTCCCTCCCCCACCCCGGCCTCACTTAGTGGCCAATTCACAGCCAACAAGGGCCGCATTGATGTGACAAACGTGACATTGCCTGATTTTCCCCCCTCCCCTTCCCTCTCCCCCTCCCCTTCCCTCTCCCCCTCCCCCTCCCCCTCCCCCTCCCCGCCGCCCTTCCCCCCCCCCCTCTCTCCACCATTATCAGCGGCACTCAGCACCCAATTCACTGCCAACAAGGGCCGCATCAACCTGAAGAACGTGACAGTGCCTGCTGTCGGGCAGTGGACGTGGTCTGGCCTGCCGGAAAAACACACTCTTCATGGTGAGGGGTGGGGTGGGGCGGAAAGGGGTGGCTTGCATGTATGTACTTCAGTTCCCTCGTTGACCATACCATTCCATACCAGACCATACCATCACATACCATTCCATACCATGCGACCACTCCGCACACACACCTTGCCCAACCCCACCCCTTTCACCCCCACCCCTGCCGACTATGCCCCTGCCACCATGCCCCTACAACCATGCCCCTACCACCATGCATGGCAGGCTTCCTCAAACCCCAGCGTGGCGTGGTAATGGAGTGCTCATGATGGGCGGATTCTGATGCGCTTTGGCATGCAGACCGCAAATGCGCCATTTCCCGTGCCAACCATCCCGGGCCAACCATCCTGTGCCAACCATCCCGTGCCGACCATCCCGTGCCAACCATCCCTGGCAGATTTTCTCAAAGTTTACAGCGGAGTGGGCAATGGAGTCCTCATGATGGGCGAGTTCAAGAAGGTACGTCCCATCCCCGTCCCACCCCCTCCCACCCATCCCACCCCCTCCCACTCCGTCGCATCCCGTATCATCCCGCACCATCACGTCCCATCACGACCTGAACAGCGTGACCTCCAGTTCCTGCTGTTGCCATGCCTTCTCCTTCCACGCCCCTCCCTCTGTGCCCTTCCCCCCCCTCTCCTCCCCCCCACCCTCCCACCACAACCTATCACCGACTCTGTCCTCTTCTACATGCTCTTGATCTCCCGTTGCTACTGCCTTCGTACCCTCTCTCTCCAACTTATCTACCCATCCACATCCCGTGTCCTCCCCCCCCACCCAGCAACCCATCACTGACTCTGTCTTCTTCCTCGTGTTCTCCGCCATGGACCTGCCATTCCTGCCGCGACTATGCCCTCTCCCCCAATATATCTCCCCTCCATCCCTTGGCTCTCCGCTGCTCCCAGCAACCCATCTTCGATTCCATCTTCTTCCCCATGGACCTGCCGTTCCTGCTGCACCCGTGCCGTCTCCTTCCATGCCACCTCCCTCTGTGCCCTCTCCTCCCTCTCCTCCCTCTCCTCCCTCTCCTCCCACTCCTCCCTCTCCTCCCTCTCCTCCCACTCCTCCCTCTCCTCCCTCTCCTCCCACTCCTCCCTCTCCTCCCTCTCCTCCCTCTCCTCCCTCTCCTCCCTCTCCTCCCTCTCCTCCCTCTCCTCCCTCTCCTCCCTCTCCTCCCTCTCCTCCCTCTCCTCCCTCTCCTCCCTCTCCTCCCTCTCCTCCCTCTCCTCCCTCTCCTCCCTCTCCTCCCTCTCCTCCCTCTCCTCCCTCTCCTCCCTCTCCTCCCTCTCCTCCCTCTCCTCCCTCTCCTCCCTCTCCTCCCTCTCCTCCCTCTCCTCCCTCTCCTCCCTCTCCTCCCTCTCCTCCCTCTCCTCCCTCTCCTCCCTCCCCTCCCCTCCCCACCGTTCCTTCCCCTCCCAGCAACCCATCACCGACTCTATCTTCTTCCGCATGCTCTCCCCCATGGACCTCCTCCCGTTCCTGCTGCACCCATGCCTGCTTTCTCTCCATGCCTCCCGCCTGCCTTCTTTTCCCTACCCCCCAAACCCCCTTCCCGCCTCCCCCCTCCCTCCCCGCCCCCCCTCTGTAGCAACCCATAACCGATTCCGTCTTCTTCCGCATGCTCTCCCCCATGGACCTCCCGTTCCTGCTTCCCCCGTGCATTCTCATCCCATGCCCCCTCCCTCCCCCTGTACCCTCACCCCCCTCTCTCCCCTCCCCCCTCCTCCCCCCCCCCCAGCAACCCATCACGGACTCCGTATTCTTCCACATGCTTTCCCCCATGGACCTGCCGTTCCTGCTGCCGCCAGCACTGGGCAAGCAGAGGGGGAGGGCCAAACTTGGGAAGATGGTGGTGCCGCGGGAAACGTGCCTTGCGTCCCCCGCCATCCGGGTAGGGTGCCATCCTTGTAGGGTGCCATCCAGGTAGGGTGCCATCCGGGTAAGGTGCCATCTGGGTAAGGTGCCATCCGGGCAGGGTGCCATCCGGGCAGGGTGCCATCCGGGTAGGGTGCCATCCGGGTGAGAGGCTCCTATTCGTGTGAGCCGAGCCCATCCCTACTATCTCACGTACCGAATCCCTCTTGCAAGCCTTTCCCCTCCCCACCCCCTCTTCTCCTGCTCTTGACAGCCCCCTCAACAGCTTATTCCCTCTCTCCCCTCTCCTCTCCCCTCTCCTCTCCCCTCTCTTCTCTCTTCCCCCTCTCTCGCCGTTTCCTCAACAAGCAAGACCTTTTCCTTCCCGCTCCCCATCTGCGTCCCCTCTCTCTCTCTCCCCCCTCCTCTTCTCCCCCCAGCCCCCTCAGCCGCTGGTAGCAGCAGCGTGGCACATAGTGCAGAGCTATCTGCTCAGCGGGCGATTCCTGGCAGTGCACTTCAGACGGGGCGACTTCAAGGACTACTGCCAGAAGAAGGTGCGGTGTGTCATTGTGATCCTGCGTGTGCCTGGGTGGCCCATCGTCCTGGGTGGCACATCGTCCTGGCAGTGGACTTCAAGTACTACTGCCAAAAGAAGGTGAGCGTTGGGTAGCAGAAGGAGGTGAGGGTGGGGGTAGAAGAAGGGTGGACTGGTCGAAAAGTAGTGTAGTGTACATACGTGGATGTGCTTCCAGTGCTCCCAGCGCACCTTGGATCGGCGTTATCCTACCAACTGCGATGATGTGATCCTACCAAAGGTCTTTCCTCTCCTCCCCGTCTCACAGGCAGCACTATGCATCCGTGCTTCCTGCTGCCATGGCTGCTCGTGTGTGGATGGTGTGTCAGAGAGTAGATCTGCGTGTGCGAGGTGTTCTTCTCAGTACGTTTGCGATGGGTCGCCATTTGAGGCGCTTAAGAGATTCGACATACGCGTGCTGCGCGCTGCGTGCTGCATGCATGGTGTTTTCAGCACACCCTCCCTCTCATCCACAGTTTCCTCTCTTCTTGCTTCCCACCCCACCGCACCCATGGGACGGCTGCTTCCTCTTGGTGGCACAGGAATCGCAGCGTGTGCGTGCGTGCGGCTGCTGTGCCCGCCGGTGTGTCCAAAGTGTTGTCATTCTCACGAGCCCCTCCCTTTTTTCAACATCCCTTCCCCTCTTGGCCCGCCCTGCAGCACCCATCGGACGGCTGCTTCCTCCCGGTAGCGCAGGCATCGCAGTGCGTGCGCACTGCCGCCATCACTGCGGGGGTGTCCCTCGTGTTCCTCGCCACTAACGCCCAGACGCACGAGGTCCAGGAGATGAGAGCGGTGCTCGAGGGGCAACTGCAGGGTCAACTGCAGGGGCATGGTGATGAGGCACAACCGCAAGGACCAAGCAAGGCGCCTCGTGTGGAGCAACAAGCGCAGCACGAGCAGCCATCCAGTGTTGAATCGCAACCGTTGGATCTGCAACCCCAGCCATCGGATGTGCGATCCCAGCCGTCCATGCCGGTCATTGCGCGCCGCATGCTGCATCATGATGTAGACAGTTCCAACACTCCTTCTGCAGACAAACTTTTAGATCCCACCGTCAACAGCAGCAGCACTGCTACTGGCAGCAGCAGTGCAGTGCAGCTTGTGACTCTATCGCATCTGCTCTCTAAAGAGGACAACAGCACCTGGCTTCAGTCGCTTACGAAGAACGTGAGTTGGCAAGGCGAGCAGAGCCCTGCTGTGGGTTTCTGGCCTAGGGCTTGTGAGGATGATTGTCTCACTTTTTTATGCCGAATCTGTGTAATCTGTGGTCTGAGTTAAGTCCCGCGGAGTAGCATGCTTGGCGCTGTGCTCTTCTCTGTGCTCTGCTCTGTTACCGCTGTCTTTGTGGCGATCTACTATGAGCTTTTCTCTGCCACTCTGCCCTTCCTCTGGTGCTCCAGTCTGTGCCGTGTTGGTTCCTCGCCTTGCTGCATCATTGGGATGTCTCCATGCATACATACCCTCCCCCTCAAGCACCCACCCGCCCAACCCCCCACCCACCGGCCCAACCCCCCAACTCTCCAGGGCATCGACCTCAAGGCCATTCCTCAAGCTGCAGCCACGCTGGAGAATCTGCTCTGTGTGCTGGCAGCAGGGCTTCTGGGCACCCACTTCCTCATTCCTTCTTCCTTGTCCTGATGATTCTCGCCCTCGTTTCATTATAATCTCTTTCCATCGCCCCCCCCCCCCCCTCCCCTCTCTCCCACCTCCCTCTCCCCCCCTCCCTCCGGCAGGGCATCGACCTCAAGACCACCCCTCAGGCAGTAGCCACCCTGGAGAAGCTGCTCTGTGCGCTGGCAATGGGGTTTCTGGGCACGCCCCACTCCACGTTCACCAAGGATATCGTGCGGCTGAGACACGGGTTCCGCACGGCAAGGTGTGGCGACGACTATGTGTGCAGTGCTGGGCCTGAATGAGGAGAGGCCATCTTTTTTATACACCCCCCACTCCACGCTCACAAAAGATGTCGTGCGGCTGAGGCATGGGTTTTGCGGCTGAGGATGGTTATGTATGCAGTGCTGGGCCCAGAGAGTAAAGGGGTAACGGTCCTCACACTCCACCTTGACCAGTGGCACAGTGTGGGTGAAACATGGGTTCTCACGAGGCTTCCATCCACCCATGCTCCACTGCTCAAATCGGCTTCGGTGATAAAGCTGTGCTCTCAAGAGACATGGTGGTTGTTTTCACATGTGGAGCGGAGCATTGGCGGTTTGTATGGAGGGTGAAGAAAGAGAGGCAGCTAAACACATCCATTTTGCATCTAAACACTCTGTTACATTATTATTATTCTGTGGCTATTTGTCCTGTACATATCATGTGAAGTGTTTGGAGCTCGACGACACGTCATTTCTGAGGCAGTACTAGCTCTGGGCATACAATCAACGCACCAGAGCATGCTACATCTGCATTATGTAACATGCTGCCACACATTCTGACACTTGTTTGTAACCCCAGCTGTCGGCGTTGGTCCTTCGTGGCAGCAGTCTTGACGCGCTTGAAGCTAGGACCCATTTGACACAGCGTGCCAGCAGGGCGACCTCTGAGTCGACTCGAACCTCGAAAGCCACCACCTTCTAGGCGGTCGTCTTGACGCGCTTGAAGCTAAGCTTTGCCTGACACAGCTGGCCAGCAGGGCCTGGGGCCAAGGGAAGTGTGCAGGAGGGTTTGAAAACAGGGCATGTGCAAGGGGGGCGTCAAGAGCAGGGCGTGTGCAAGGAGCAGGTCAAGAGCAGCACAGTGCAACGGGCAAATCGACTGAAAAGCAGAGTGTGAGGCCCAAGTGTTGAAGCAGGCACGGTGGTGAGGGCACGGTGATGAGCGCACGGCGGTGAGGGCATGGTGATGAGGGCATGGTGGTGAGGGCATGGTGGTGAGGGCATGGTGGTGAGGGCATGGTGATGAGGGCATGGTGGTGAGGGCATGGTGGTGAGGGCATGGTGATGAGGGCATGGTGGTGAGGGCATGGTGATGAGGGCATGGTGATGAGGGCATGGTGATGAGGGCATGGTGGTGAGGGCATGGTGATGAGGGCATGGTGGTGAGGGCATGGTGATGAGGGCATGGTGGTGAGGGCACGGTGGTGAGGGCACAGTTGTGGGAAGAACGGAAGGGCGTGCACAGGGGTGCAAGATTGAGACAGCAATGGGGGACCATGCTCATATGTCTAGGCGATTAGGCATACTGTGACACGCTGATATGCTGATATGCCTATGTGTGCTAAGCAGGAATCTTGCCAGTGCGTTTACGCTTCAGTGCCCTCTAGGGGACCTGGCTCGTGCATACCTGGGAGGCCTAAGCGTCTCTTGACAAGTGTGAGCTTAGCTTGGGGCAATGCCATGGTGCTTCTGTTGCTGCTGCTGCCAGGACCGTGTTGCTGTGGTGCCACATGTGATGAACTAGTGTTCTGGTGCTGGTCTGCCACGTCAGCTGCAGAGGTGTGCTGCTGCTGCTGCTGGTGCTGCCGGTGCTGCTGGTGCTGCCGGTGCTGCTGGGCCACGTCAGCAGCAGGAAAAGAGAAACATGAAAAGAGGATGAAATGCTTGCATAACAAAGGATGGAGCTAGTGCCAAATATGCCTGAGATGTAATATCGTCCTCCTAGTGAGCCATACGCAACCCACGGCATGGTACACAACAACCCATCGCACACTATCCAACAGACCATGCATCCACCCATGGAATGTGGCAAGTCTCACCGACTGAGCGTCCCTGGCCGATTGGAGTCTATCCTTTTCGGCCGTTCCACTGCCACCGTCTCCTCTCCCTGCTCCATCTCCACCATTGGATGATAGTGATTGGCAGCGAGGATCAATTGAAGCCTGCTGCGTGTAACTGTGCTGCTGCTGTTGCTGTTGCTGGTGCATATGCTGATGCTGCTGTTGGCGTTGATGCTGCTGCTGCTGCCTGTGCTGGACTGGTGGCTGCTGCCGTTGTGGGTGCTGCTCCTGTGGCTTGCTTTGCGATGCATTGCTGTGAGACGACCCGAACACATCCGCACAATGGGCTTCCATGCACGCCACCACCTGACAGCATGAACAAAAGTATGTATGACAGGGCCAGGGACGGCTGGAACTGTGAAAGGGTTTTCCCTGCAATAGGTTGCTGTGAGACGACCCGAACACATCCGCACAATGGGCTTCCATGCACACCACCACCTGACGGCATGGCCAGAGTTGGATTGGGTTGAAGTGACATGAATTAGTGTGTAAGAAATCACTGTGTGATGATCCAAACACATCAGCGAAGTGGGCCTCCATGCAAACGACCACCTGACAGCAGGGAGGCAAGTATGTAGTGTATGGCTCGGCCAGGGGGATGGCTGGAACTGGAACGGGCCAGCCCTGCAACGAATGAACAGCTGTGCCAAAACCAGAAAACATCCCAGCAGTGGGCTTCTATGTCAGATGTATAAATGCTCAGGGGGCTTTTACAGGGATCCACGTACCTGCTGAAACTCGTCCTTGCCCACCCGTGACACCTCGAGCAGCTTGTCTATGTCCACCTTCAGCTGCCCACGGACATGGGGAAAGTTTTATGCGTACATGGATGGACACTAAGTTGCGACTTTTAAGGCGCCTTAAAAACCGCTTGCTTGTCTACAACCACCTTCAGCTGCGCATGGCAACATTTGTAAAATATGCACATGTGAACAACCGGTTGTGATTTTTTATGCGCCTCAAAAGTCGCCTCAACGATCGCTTCCAGCAGCTTGTCCATATCCACCTTCAGCATCAGCTGCACACGAGGAAATGTGTACCCATACATGTGGGCACACAGTCGTTGAGATGAGGATATCGAGACACACACAGCAAGGAAGTGGAGATGGAACGAAGGAGGCACCAGGCAAAGAATCGAGCACTAAGCCATCCCCTATTTGCTGCTCCATCCATCCCATACCTTGCTGCGTGTGGCTGTGAGCATGGGCGCACCTGCGATGCATGCTGCTCAAGTATAGAAACCCCTCAACACCGACTCTACAGCGTCACGCAATACCTTGCTGCGCCATGCCATACCTTGCTGCGCCATGCCATACCTTGCTGCGCCATGCCATACCTTGCTGCGCCATGCCGTACCTTGCTGCGCCATCCCATACCTTGCTGCGCCATCCCCTACCTTGTTGCGTGTGGCGGTGAGCATGAGCGCAGCTGCCATATATGCTGGCCGCGAGAAGTCAGTGCTGCCCCGCCGCGCCTCCGGCAGGGAGTGAGTGAAGCGAGAGGTGAACCTGAGGGGCGAGGGAGGGGGGTGGGGGGAGGGGGGTGGGAGGGCGCAGAGAGAGGAGGTGGTGCAGTGCAGAGAGAGAAGAGTGGGGGGTGCACCGAGAAGAGAAGAGGAGTTTATACTTCCTGTCAAGGTGGTGGCGGCGCTCGCCCAAGAGTCAACAATGCAAGATCACAGAGAACCAGGGGTAGTGGTGGGTGGGACGCTGGGGTTATGTGAGAATGAAAAGGAGAGAAAACAGAAACGGTGGTCCCAAAACCTCAAGGCCACTGTGTCCAAAACAGCAGTACGTTCTTGCCAGGGCAATACTTCACATTCACACTCTGCCAACATCCCCCAGTTCCCTTTCTCTCCCCCCAGTCGCCTCACATGTGCAGGTTGCGTTGAGTGGACTCCAGCACTCGCATGCAGCCGAACTGAAGGGCCAACTGGGGCAGGCTCAACTGCGACCTGCACAGGCAGGCACAGCGCACAGCGCACCGAGACAAGAGCATGACCATTGGCTGGAGTCATGACGCTGCAGCAGGCAGGCTGTACACCCCCCCCACAGGTCCTGGCCCAGCTTCTGCATGCGGCCATTGCAGGCTTGACGAGAATCTAGAGGAGCACATGACGCCCAGAGGGGACGCACCTGACGCCCAGAGGGGACGCACCTGACGCCCAGAGGGGACGCACCTGACGCCCAGAGGGGACGCACCTGACGCCCAGAGGGCATTGGCTGGAGTCCTGGCGCTGCAGTGGGCAGCAGCGCTGGCGAAGGGTTGTAACCCCCCTCACCCCCTCCTTCTCCCCCCATCCACAGGTCCAGGCCTCGCTTCTGCATAAGGCCATTGCAGGCTTGACGTGAATCCAGAGGCGCACCTGACGCTCAGAGGGGCCGCACCTGACGCCCAGAAGGGGACGCACCTGACGCCAAGGGCGTTCTGAATGGCCGCTCGAGCCCGGGCATACGCTGGGGGCGACATGCCGCTGAGCTTGGCTGCCTTGCGTGGGTCCACTGCAGTGTCGCCCAGCCTGCCAGTGCAGTGTGATCCAGGACATACCAGTGAGAACCAGTGCGAGTGGGAGGGTGGAGTGGGAAGGGGAAGGGGGTGGGGCGGGGGTGGAACATGCTGCTCAGCTTGGCTATCTTGCGTGCGTCCACTGCTGGTTCGCCCAGCCTGCTGTTGTATCATGCCACGCAGTGACATCACGTAATGACGGTTGGATGTGCACGTTCACGTGGCGTCGAGTGTGGGAGTCCGCGTAAGGATGATCGGATGTGGGTGGGGAGGAGAATGGATAGGGAGGAGGGGAGGGGGCGATGTTGGCAAAAGCGAGCGAGTGGGAGAGAGTGGGGGAGAGTGAGACGGAAGAGAGTCAGAGAGAGACGGGGGGGGGGGAGAAGGGGGAAGGGCTTGGTAGGGCCATCCTATGGTGCGTACAGGTGGCAGGCGATGTCGAAGGATATGACCGCCTTGGCTACGTCGCCCTGCGCAGGGAAGAAGCGACCACGGAGAATTGCGAAGATAGGGAGAGGGGATTTCGGTTTACTTAAAAAGAACCTAGTAGTGACAAGGGAGAAGTGCGATTACAGCAGGGGCTTTTCACTCTCGATAGTCACCTACTGACAACGGAGAATTGCGATTACGGGAGGGGGGGTATTTGTAGTCGACTCAAAATGCACCTAGTGACAGCAGAGAAGTGAGATTACAGGAGGACAAGGCGCAGACGGAGGGAGTTTTGACACGAGAACGATGTTGCAATGCGGACGGTGTCCTGCGACAGCAGTCACTTTGCCATGTGGCAGAAGGCCCATGGTCCCTTCGCGAAAGTCGCAAGAGCCGAGGACATGATAGAGTCTGAGGACATGAGCGTCAGCTGAGGATGAGCGCCTCCGAATGGTCGCCAGGAAGACGCGTTCTAAAATTATTCCTGATGGAACCACAGCGCGTAAGCAGGACAGTTTCATGCGATCGCAACCACTGCCAGGTTTTCTGACGCCAGAAGCATGCCCTTAACTAGCCTCCGTCCACGCGCTCTAGTGACAAGTGCGACTTTGTGTCCGCTGGCGCGTTAGGGAACCAGCTGACATCACAAAGAGCCGCATTTCGCAGTGTAACCTCCTGCCGCCGCCGCTCGCGTCTAGTTCTGTGCAAGTGACATTTGCGTGGAGAAACGGACGACATTGCGCGCTACCTACCACGCCGAAAGTGCCCGGCTCGAACTTCAAGTTGCAAATTCTTTGCAGCTCCTCGGCTCGCTTGACTGTCGGGCCCTTCTTCTTGACCTTGCGGCTGTTTTTGGACGCATCGAAGAGGAGGGCATCAGTGAAATTGTCAGACGGCCCTACTGACTGCGACAGCAGCCTGAATTGGACCTGGGTCATATCCATTGCAGTAGCGGGATGGGCTTTCAATAATTCACTGTGAAGAAGCTGTCAGATACAAGCAGGCACTGCATTTGCTGAAAGTAGCAGAAGGCTCGGCTGGTATTGTGACTTCGTATTCGAGAGTTCAAATCTGATTATGTTTTGGTCACCTTCGTCATAAAAACCTGACCGTCTAGGAAACCTGCAAAAATCATGTTACGATTTCATATTCTTAGGCATTCGTTCTTTATTTATTCAGAACTAAGCACATTTGAGTATATGGATTGTCCTTTATGGTCACGTTTGAGTATATGGATTGTCCTTTTGCAAAGTGATGGGAACTCTAAAACCATAAAAGGGGATAACGTTTCAGGTTTAAGATACCCCAAAGAATCAATGAAATTATTTTCTAATGTAATTTTAGCTTTTTTTCTATGATCAGATGGATAATAGAGAGGAAAATCACAGATTCAGCTGCTATGATACATGTTGCTAAAAAGCGTAACGATTTCGGAAGTTTCGCGAGCTACGGAACATGTAAGTAATTGCGAAGTTCTCCATATCGGCTTCGGTTAATGTTGCGTGGCTTGTCTGTGGCCCTTCAGGGCGGGTCCAAACAGTCCGCAATCTATTAGTTTGTTAAAAGTAACCCATTTCTAGCGTGTAACTTGGGATGCCCGACACCTTTGAGGATACGTGAACCCCAAAGTGAGCTGAAGAAAGATAGGTGCACAATTCGGGGGAAAGGGGACGTGTGTGGTGCAAGAGGACTTCGCCAAGCTTGGCGAAGAGAAGGCGGCCTCGTGTGAAACACGTCACGCCCGCGCCTCCATGTGATGGTTTCCGCTCTGCGAAACAAACCAAATTTCGCCGGCGGCGGCGTTTGGGTCACAGAGTTTTAGAGGCATTTCGAAACGTTTTCTCCACCCCATCAATTTGCTTCCCGCCTCTTTTTTTGGAGGCCAGCGGGGACGCGTTTCGGGGGAAATGCGTATTCGGACTCGATTTCAGTTTTTGTTCCCGAGTTCGTAAAATCGTGCCCAAAATCCCCAACTTAACTGTTTGGACCCGCCCTCAGACCGCTTTGGTCAAATAAAGGTTCATCGTCGTGATCAGCAGTTCTAGGAGTTGTTAGACCAAAGGCTCGTCGGCTCGCTGTTCCCGACAGCACTTTTCAATGGCAAACCTAGCTGAGCTTCGCCATCCAGTAGTTCAACCAGAAAGAAATGAGCGCATCAGAAAATCCAGCACATTCCTGCTGCTTTTCATCGCATTCTCTGCAGGAAGCCTAGCTGGATTCATGAACTTATCTCATTCACGAAACGATGAACCGCCGAAGCACGGCGTACCGACCAGAAGAACAGCATTCCACTTTCAACCAGAAGGGAACTGGATGAATGGTCAGTAAATATCAGTTCCTAAAATTCCCTTCCGTATAATCAGTGGCTAAATGGTTCTTGATGATGTCGTCGCTGACAGAAATTTCCCGCTTTTCTTTGCAGATCCAAATGGTGAGCGCTGCATTTATCTGGATCTGTTGCATAATTTCAGTCTCTTACAAATGTGCTCATTCAGGGCCGATGTATTACAAGGGACATTATCATTTATTCTACCAGTACAATCCTTTTGGAGCAGTTTGGGGTAACATAAGCTGGGGCCACGCAGTCTCAAGCAACCTGATCCAGGTATGAAACAGGTCTCTGTAGGTTAAAGTTTTTATTGTGTATCAACGACTGTCAATTTTCCGCTGGCAGTGGACCCACTTGCCTGTGGCCATTAGTCCCGACCAGTGGTATGACGTAAAGGGTGCATGGTCGGGCTCTGCTGTGGTTTTTGACGACGGTACTCCTGCTATCCTATACACTGGAAGTAGTGACGACAATGTACAGCTGCAAAACCTGGCTCTTCCTGAAAACGCATCTGATCCTCATCTGACGAATTGGGTTAAAAGCCCGTATAATCCTATAGCACGACCGCCTCCTGGAGTGAGTAAGTTTGATTTCAGAGACCCATCAGCGTGGAAAGGGAGTGACGGAGTCTGGAGAATGATTGTTGGATCAAGACAAAATGGGACCGACTGTGTATTGATGTACAAGAGCAAGGATTTCACTAACTGGTCTGAGGTTCCCCAAGTAGTTACTACGGCGCCAGGACGAGCTGGAATGTGGGAGGTAAGCGATTCTTGCTCTCTCAGTATGATGCGACGTTTTACGTCTCTTGATGCGTTATTTGTCAATGCAGTGTCCAGACTTATATCCTGTTTCTACAAACGGGGAAGCTGGTCTGGATACGTGCTTCACGAATGAAGATTGCCATCACGTTTTGAAGGCATCGTTTGATGACAGCTTTCTCGATTACTATGCCATTGGAACCTACAGCCAGGCAAATGAAACTTGGGCACCATTGGATTCGCGCATCGATGTCGAAAATGGGCTGCGATATGACTATGGGAAGTTCTACGCATCGAAGACCTTCTTTGACCCCTCTACACGCCGTCGTATCCTTTGGGGATGGGTGAATGAGTCTGACTCGCAGTACGATGACATATCTAAAGGGTGGGCTTCAGTCCAAGCTATTCCACGTGTTGTCAGTTTGGACAGGTCAACAGGAATGCAACTGGTGATGGAGCCAGTAGAGGAATTGAAGCTTTTGCGAGGAAGTCACTTGCATGATGCTGACATTACATTGAAGAAGGGTACGAAGAAGCTTATCGAAGATTTTTCAAGCATGCAGGTAATGTCAAATTTGAAGGCTTTCAAGATCATGCAAGCTGTGGTAAACTGACTCAACTTTTTCTGCTAGCAGGTGGATATGGAAGTTGTGTTCACCATTCCCAAAAAAATTACATTCAACCAGTACCGTCCCCTTCAAAGTGACTGTGGTTGGGACGAAATTTATGCATCAAGAGTTGTTGGGCGCTTTGGGGCCCATGTCCTTGCTTCAACAAAACTAGAAGAGCGGACATCCATTTTCTTTGAGCTTGCGATTGGACCTCTCGGACGATGGCAAGTTCGTTTGTGCAGTGACCAGAGAAGGTACGAAAAAACATTTTCAGCACCGTTTTGGCAAGTTCTGACTTTGTTATGGCGCATTCAGGTCATCACTGGCAGAAACAGCTGAGAAGAGTATATATGGGAGTCAACTCTTGTTGCAAGAATCCGAGGATAGGCTGCTGCTTAAAATACTGGTGAGTAAGCAATATTGAGATCAGTCCTCTTGGCCAAACTTGACATGACAACCTTGTGATTTCAGGTTGACAACTCAATTGTAGAGTCTTTTGCTCAAGGAGGAAAGTCGGTCCTTACAGCAAGAGCTTACCCAACCCAGCAATCAAGCAGAATTTATTTATTCAATAGTGGATCAACACCTATAGAAGTGAAGTCTCTAGATGTTTGGGAGATGATGTCTGCCAACAGTGGCATGGACCTGTAGGCCTGGTGCCATGAGGTTGGTCAGGTTTTACAGATATGGTATTTCATGGTACAATATTTTTACTGTGTGGATATCATGGAGGGCAGGGTATCATCAAGCAAGTACATCTCTTTGAGATTATCAAGTGGCTTGGGGTAATTCCATGGTTCTGCTGTTGCTGCTGCTGCCAGGACCGCGCTGCTGTGGTGACACGACAGCTGAACTAGTGTTCCACTGCTGCTCTGCCACGTCAGCTGCAGAGGTGTGGTGATGCTGCTGGTGCTGCTGGTGCCGCTGGGCCATGTCAGCAGCAGGATATGTGCATAGATCCTGTGAGATACGGTATGAGGAACATTAAAAGTGGATGTAAAGCTTCCATAACAATGGATGGAGCTAGTGCGAAATAAAATAAGCCTGTGAGATACAAAAGGGTCCTCTTAGTGAGGCATACTCTCTACCCAAGGCATGGTACACAACAACCCATCGCACACTATCCGACACACCTAAGAAATGTGGCAAGTCCCACCGATTGAGCGTGCCTGGCCGGCTGGATTCTATCCTTTTCTGCCTCTCCACAGTAACCGCTCGCTCTCCCAGCACCATCTGCACCAATAAATAGTGATTGGCGGAGTCAATCATTCGAAGCCCCGTGCGTGTAACTGTGCGGCGGCTACTGTTGCTCATGCTTTTGCTGATGCTGTTGTTGGCATTGATGATGATGCTGCTGCTGCTGCTGCCGTTGCTGCCTGTGCTGGACTTGTGGTTGCTGCAGTTGCGGGAGCTGCTCCTGTGGCTGGTTCGGTGGCAGCCTGGACTGTGACGCATTGCTGTGGGACGATCCGAACACATCAGCGCAGTGGGCTTCCATGCACGGCACCACCTGACGGCACGGGGGCAAGAACAGATGACAGGAACAGGGATGGCTTGGACTGGAGTTGGCTTGCCCTGAGAAGAATTTCTGTGTGACAATCCAACAACATCAGCACAGTGGGCTTCCATGAACGCCACCACCTGATAGCAGGGAGGCAAGAACAGATGCCAGGACCACGGATGCATTCCACTAAAATTGGCTTGCCCTGCAATGAGTTGCTGTGGGACGGCGCGAGCAGATCCCTGCAGTGGGCATCCATGCGTGCAAGTTGCCACCACTTGAAAGCGGGTACACTCCGTTGCGCCCATCATGCTCTGCAGTGTATTGCACACCCAATCCTAAAAATAGTACGACGGCAGAATGGGTGCTCTAGTCGCATGTCAAACCGCCGACCTCGATGGGTGCTCTAGTCGCAATCCTACGTCTCGAGAAGGAAGTCCCTGATGGTTTCTAAGAGAGCCCTGCACAAAGACCTGCATCCGCCTACCTCCTGTAATCAAATGCACTTACCTGCTGAAACTCGTCCTCGCCCACTCGTGAAGCTTCCAGCAGCTTGTCGACATCCATTTTCAGGTGCACTTGCACATGGGTATCAATGCGTCCGTACATGCGTGGACACACAGTTGCGAAAAGAAACCCGCTTCCAGCAGTTTGTGAAAAAACACCTTCAGCTGCACATGGGCATACGCATGCGTACACGAGTGGATACACGGCTGAGAGGAGGTAGAGATACGCACAGCATGAACGTGATAATGGAAGGAAGTACAGGCAAAGATCGAGCATTATGCCATCACATACCTTGCTGCATGTGCCAGTGAACATGAAAGCAGCTGCCATGTTTGCTGCTCGAGTTGTGAGGCCCCTCACCACCTACCTTGCTGAGCCATCCATCCCATACCTTGCTGCGTGTGGCCGTGAGCATGAGTGCAGCTGCCACGTATGCTGGCCGCGAGAAGTCAGTGCTTCCTCGCCGCACCTCGGGCAGGGAGTGAGTGAAGCGGGAGGTGAACCTGAGGGGCGAGGGAGGGGGGGGAGGAGAGGGGGGGGGGGGGGGCAGAGAGAGGAGGTGGTGCAGAAAGTGAAGAGTGGGGGGCGCAGAGAGAAGGGTAAGGCAGAGAAAATAGGGGGAGGCAGAGAGAAGAAAAGAGAAGTTCAACCTTTCTAGTCAAGTTGGTTGGTGGCGCTCGCCCACGCGTCAACAATGCAAGATTATCGCTGTGGGTGGGACGGCGGGGTTATGTGAGGATGAAAAGGAGAGAAAACGCCAACGGTGGTCCCTTAACCTCAAGGCAACTGTGTCCAGAACAGTTGTGCTTCATTACATTTTCTTGCCAACGCAATACTTCACTTTCACACTCTCCCGAAATCCCTCAGTTCCCTCCCCATCCCTCAGTCCCCTCCCCTCCCCTATTCTCGCCTCACATGTGCAAGTTGCGTTGAGTGGAATCCAGCACTCGCATGAAGCCGAACTGAAGCGCCAACTGGGGGAGGCTCAACTGCGACCTGCACAGGCAGGCACAGCGAACAGCACACAGCGCACAGCACACAGCGCACAGCGAACAGCGCACTGCTCACAGCGAACGGCGAACAGCGCACAGCGAACAGCGAACAGCGAACAGCGAACAACGCACAGCGCACGGAGACAAGAGCATAGTCAGTGGCTGGAGTCATGTCGCTGCAGTGGGCAGCAGCGCTGGCAAAAGGCTGTACACCCCCCCCACAGGTCCAGGCCCAGCTTCTGCATAAGGCCATCGCAGGCTTGAAGTGGATCCAAAGGCGCACCTGACGCCCAGAGGAGACGCACCCGACGCCAAGGGCGTTTTGAACGGCTGCTCGAGCCTGGGCATACGCTGGTGGAGACATGCCGCTCAGCTTGGCTGCCTTGCGTGCATCCACTGCTGGGCCGCCCAGGCTGCCAGCGCACCATGCCATGCCAGTCCGTTGAGGACTAGTGCAAGTGGGTGGGTGGAGGGGGGGGGGGGGAGGAGAGAGGGGGAGACATGCCGCTCAGCTTGGCTGCCTTGCCCGCGTCCACTGGAGTGTTGCCCAGCCTGCCAGTGCATCATGACACACGGTGAGATCAAGTGCACGCGGGTGGTGGGATTGTGCGCGTCCACATGGCGTACAGGGTGGGAGCTTGCGCAGGGATGGCTGGATGTGCGCTCGTGCTTGCGGGTGGACGGAAGGAGGCGGGCGGAAAGGGGGGAGAGGGGCAGGTGGGAGGGGAGAAGCGAAGGGGGAGGAGAAGGGGCAGCGAGGAGAAGAGGGGGAGATGTAGGGAAAGGGGAGCGAGTGGCCGAGAGAGGGGGAGAGAGAAGCGGGAGGGAGAGACGGGGTGGGGGTGAGGGGGAAGGAGTGGGTGGAGAAGGCTTGGTACAAGGGCCAACGGAGACAGCCTTGGCCACGTCGCCGTGCACAGGGAACAAGTGACAACGGGGAACCGCGATTACAGGAGGAGTCGTCTTAGTCGACTCAAAAGTCACCTATTGGCAACGGAGATTTGAGACTACAGGAGTGCGTATCGCAGAGGAATGGAGAGTTTCGGCATGAGAACGATGCACCAGTACGGACGTCTTCCTGCTACAGCAGTTATTTGCCGTGTGGCATAAGGCCCATGGTCCTTTCGTGAAGAATTCAGTTGCAACAGCGTCAGCTGAGGCCATGAGCGCCTCTGCATGGTGGTGGGGAAAACGCGCTCTAATTGCAATCCTAATGGAACCACTGTGCGTCAACAGGACAGCTTGACGCAATAGCACACGCTGCCCGATTTCCTGACAGCAGCAGCCATGCCCTTAGCTGGCCCTCCGTTCGCGCGCTCTAGCGAAAAGTGCGGCTGTGGCTCGAATAAGCTGACGGCGACGTAACGGCTAACGCGGTATGAAACCAGTAGCTGGAAACTCACGGAGCCGCGGCATTTCGCAGCGTAACCTCCTTCCGTCGTGGCTCGCGACTAGCTCCGTGCCCGTGACATCTGCATGGCGAAACGGAATATATTGGGCGGCACCTACCACGCCGAAAGTGCCCGGCTCGAACTTCAAGTTGCAGATTCTTTGCAGCTCCTCGGCTCGCTTCACTGTTGGGCCCTTCTTCTTGACCTTGCGGCTGTTTCTGGACGCATCGAAGAGGAGGGCATCAGTGGAGTTGTCAGACGGCCCTACTGACTGCGACAGGAGCCTGAATTGGACCTCGGTCATATCCATTGCAGTAGCGGAATGGGCTTTCAATATTTCACTGTGAAGAAGCTGTCGGAGGCAAGCAGGCACTGGGTTTGCTGAAAGTGGCAGAAAGCTCAACTGGTGTTGTGACTTCGTATTCGAGAGTTCAAATTTGAAGATGTTTTGGTCACCTTCGTCATAAGGAGATTCCGTCTGCTGGCCTATACAATCTATAAATCTTGGAAACCTGCAACAAAAGCATTATAATATATGATATTCATAGGCATGCACATTGTATTCATAATTATAATACATAACTGCTCCATGTGTACTTTTTGATCACGTTTCATTATTTTGTTTTGAAATTATATGGGTTGTTCTTTTGGAGGCTACCGTATTTGCAGAGTATTGGAAATACCTCGAAGACTTAAGCGTTTCTGTAGTGTAACACTACACTCGAAGGAAAGTCGTATCGAGTACGCGAGTCAACGGAGGTTACACGAGGAGGTTGGACGAAAGAACACGAAAGGACGAAGGAACTCGAAGGATCGCAACCGGAGATTGCGACTGACCGTTACGACTGCAAGGGTGGTAACCGAACCAACTGTATTCTACAACTGCTCTATCTCCTATTTTCTATATATTGCTGTATGTTTGCTTCTTTTAATAAATCACTTGCTCTCACATACTACTGCAAGGGTTCAACTACTCAATACTTCCGCTGCACTACTCAAACAGCTTGTACAAGAGATACAAGTACAATGTGTTGTCCCTTTTAAGAGTTGACCTAGCTAGTTTATAACAAACACACCTAACCTTACTAGATATAAATATATGTTTGTTGACACATCCCCTAGCCTAGGTAGAGGCAGCATTTAACAAATCAGGGCAGCACGACTAGTCTGACCACTGAGACAAAGGCCAGAAGGCCAATCAGATAGTGCAAAAAGACATGTTGATACAGAACAAGTAGACGCATATAGTGTATAGTATATATCAAGATAAAAGGAGCGGAGCTGCTACTGAGACTAGACCAAGCTGAGTACAGAACCGCTGATGGTCATGAGGCGGTAGTGCCTTGGTGAAGATATCAGCAGTGTTGGCCTCTGAGGCCAACTGTACTACGAGAGCATGACCGTGCTGCTGCAACTACGTAGCAAGAAGTACCGCAGCTGCATGTGCTTCGCCCTACCCTCATGTCGAGCCTCCTGACACAGGAGGATCATGGCCCTATTGTCAGCAAACAAGACCAGGGCAGACCTAGGCTGCTCACCTAAGCTAGTGAGCAAGAACGTCAGCCAGCGGAGCTCTTGAGCGGCCATGGCCCGAGCGTAGATCTCTGCCTCACGACTGGACAAAGCTACAGACGACAACCTAGTTGACCTCTACGAGACTGCACCAGAACCAAGACTTACTATAAACAATAGCCATGTAAGGACATCTGCGTCTCCAATTCGTCAGCCCACGAAGCGTCTGTGTGTCCAGTGAGCACCACTAGCTCCCATCCTTCTAGTACAAGCTCCAATCGTAATATAATGTACTCGCCAGATACCGCAGCACCCTCTTGGAAGCCGACCAGTGGACTGGTCGATGCCTGCGTGTCGCAACAAAGTGAGCAAAGGCATTGAGAGGGTACGCTACATCAGGTCGAGTGCACATCATCAGGTACAATGGCAGGACAAATTGTCTGGATGTTTAGCATGTTTTTGCATTTTGATGAACTGTACGCTATAAACATTAAGCCTTTATCCATGGTGGCCATACACGTAGAGAAGATTAGTAAGAGCACTCACTCAAGTCTCCTAAAACCACAGTAGTATAGTACATGGTCCTTCAACGCGAAAGCATTTAATAACAGCACATCCGGACAATTTGTACCGAGGACAGACAACAAACTAGAAACTAGCAAAACTAGTACCTAGTCCAGCGTCCCTTTGCGTGAATCACCGCCTTGATCCTCCTTGGCATACTGTCGATGAGGTTTGAGCACACTTCCACCGGAATCTTGTCCCATTCCTCCTGCAGCCTCTCCCACAACTCCAACATTCCAGTAGGAGACTTTTCGTACTTCGCCAGCTCCCTTTTCAAGTGTGCCCATAGGTGCTCTATCGGGTTAAGATCCGGGGAGGATGAGGGCCATTCCAGCACCGCATACTCCTGCTCCCCAAGCCAGTCTTGCACCAGACGTGACTTGTGCTTGGGATTATTGTCGTGCTGGAATATGACCTCTGAGGGGGGGAGCTTGTAAAAGTTGATGGTTTGAGACAGTTCGTCTCGCAAGATGCTGCGATACAGTGGCCCATCCATCCTTCCATCGATCTTGCACATGAACCCCGCCCCCTCATACATCATGCAACCCCACACCATCACAGAGCCGCCCCCATGCTTAACTGTCTGCTGGATTTGGTGGCTCTGGAGTTTGCTGCCCGCGCGAATCCAAGCGTATGCATGTCCGTCGGAGCAGAAATGATTAATCTTCATCTCATCGGACCATATCACGCGTTTCCAGTCCTCCATCATCCAGTCGGCATGAGACCTCGCAAAATCTAGCCGGTCTCGTATGTTTTTCGCAGAGAGCCTGGGTTTCTTGGGCTGCTGCATAGCGATCAGCCCCGCGGATCGTAATGAGTTCCTAACGGTCTTCAAGTCTACAATAAGAGTGTGCTTCTCCTCTAGCATCTTCACGGCATCCACACTAGTTTTCGCCTCCCCGCTGGTAATCATACGAATTATACTGCACTAGATGCGGGTTGTGATTAAGCGTGGACGGCCGGTCGTGGGCATTGTAGGTCGCACCTCATCGCGACTAGTCTCAGCAATCACCTTCAGCCCGTAATCATGCACGGTACTTTTGCCTATGCCGAGCTCTTTGGCTATTTTCCTAGTCGATTGCCCATTGCGCAACATGCTTAAGATATGCGCGCGCTTCTTCTCATCTACCAGCTTCATCGTGTTGCAGTCGTAGCTTAGCTTCTAGCCTAACTCCTCATCTAACGGTTGTTGCATGAAACGGTGTGTACACTAAGTGGCGAGCGAAATTAGACCTAGACTGTCGCTTGGTATGAACTATCCGGATTGACTGTCGATGAGTAAATCTCATCCCCGCTAACTGGATGAGGGACAATGGCGCCAAGCTGTATACGGTGGAAACAAAACTCGACGAACTTGTAACAGGACCGACAAAAATTGGTGTTACTATATTCGAGACATGTGTTGCATAGAGATAAGTTTCAAAGGGCTGAACATCTGGGCAATTTTTCCTGCCACTGTACATAAGGCACCCCACCAGCTCTGCGGGTTGACAACGAGGCTCGGCCGGGTTAGCCGAAACAGGAGCAGCCAATTTGTGATCCACAGGCAGAGGGGTGGGACGTGCTGAGGAGAACTGGAGACTGAACCGCTGAAGGACCTGCTGCACCATATGAGACTGGGAGAGTGTGATCGTGTGTGCGGCATGGCCACGAGAGATATCTAAGCCCAGATAGCACCTCAGCTCCCCCAGGTCAGTGCAGATAAGTACTGTAACTCGGCCTTATTGAGGCCAGTACCATAAACGCATGGATATATGACCCTAAGGGCCTTTTTTCGTATACTAGCGAAGAAGGGGGGTGAGTCTTACAAGGAAACCTGAAAATAAATTACCTGGGTGATATCTTGTAAACATGTCAAATTCAATTTTCTTCATGTAATTTTGTTACTCGTTTACATTCCTGACTCATTGTCGAGTACTCAGGCCCACTCTCGTTCTTTTGTGCGCAAAAATCAAGCTGTCACGACATGTTGGAATCTGATTCGTTCAAGTGAGCATTTGATATGGCGGGAAATCCCCTGGGGAACATAATTTGGGAGCGATCGGTTTCGTCACAGTATCGATCGACGGTCTGGATTCTGTCTCGAGATTCAACACTGTGAGAAAACAATTGACTTCATCTCAATTAGACGGAAATTTGCCACTTGGCGAATTTCCATCCCACCCATGCTTCTAGGAGCGTTCAAGCCCTCGCTCCTCATCTTTCACAATGTTTTCTAGTTCCCCTTTCGCCCTACTGGTTTCCCCGCAGCCCCCTTTCTATTTCCTTCCTGCTCGCTTCCCGCCGTACTTTACATTTGCTGCGGAAATCATGGGAAAAGTATACGAAGAGGGTCTAAAGCCGACTACAATGAAAAGACGAGGGTCTTGTTAGTCGATTACCATAGTAAAGGACCTACCTGCCGAAAACATCCTATGGGTCCTCAATAAAACCGGTCTTATATCCGGGCGTTTATGGTATGTCTCTATCGAGAGTAGCAAATATAATATCGTCTACGTACACTAGGATGTAGAACAGGGTCTGATCAGTGCGAACAAAGAGCGAGGGGTAGGCAGAGGATGGAAAGAACTGCAGCAAAGCAAATATGGTATGAGGCATGTCGTGCCACTCACGAAGGCCATAGACAGGGCGACGCAAGCTCCATTCGGTCCCACGTGGGAAGAACCAGAGAAGCCTAGTGGGTGCCAGAGGTAGATCTGCTCATGTAGATTACCCTGCAAGAAGACTGTGGAGAAGTCGAGTGAGTGAAGCTCATAGTCACGCAGCGCGACTAGGTGAAGGAGCACCCAAAGAGTAGTCATCTTGGGGGTAGGGGAGAAGGTCTGGAAGAAGTCCACACCCTCTCGCTGACTGAAGTCTCTAGCCACATAACGCGCATTGAACTTCGGCGGCTCTCCAGGTGCACGCTTCACCCTATAGATCCACATGCCCTCCCCGGGCGGGGGAAATGCGTCGACGTAAGTGCATATAGATCAGTAGGATACCATCTCTGCCTCCATGGCCTGTATCCACTGGGCTGCTCAAGGCCCCGACACCGCCTCCGCGTAAGAGCGCGAGATAGAGATTTTGAGGGCGTCTGGGCCGCGTTCTTGGGATACAAGCATGGAGCAGATATGGGGTACAGTGGTAGCAAGGTAGGCCAGCTCGTACTGCATGTCCACTGGCATGTCATTGCCCAGGGCAGGTGCACCCCCAACGGATGGAGGACTGGCAGTATCAGAGGCCAGAGCGGCAGTGTAGTCAAAGAGGTAGCTAACACTGAAGTAAGCGACATTATCAACAAGCGCAGAGACAGACTTAGGAGGAGCAGTAGGGTCAGTGACAAGTGACGCAAGCAAGCGTGAGAGGATTGGATGAGGAGTGCGAGCAAAATCAATAGAGGAGCAGAGGACGACGAGAGCGATGAGTGAGGAGGTAACGAAAGAACAGGGACCGGAGGAGCGCGAAACGAAGGACCATAGGGTGGACACTAGGACGAGGAGAGATAGGATGACCATCAGCGGGACGACGGACCCAGTGGGAAAGAACGAGGGGCTGGAGACGAGGGGGAAAGGGGACAGGACAGGGGGAAGAGGAGAGCGGGGGGGAAAACGAGCCGGAGAGGAGTCCGGAGGAGGGAATAGCGAGTTGTAAACAGGGTCAGGGACAGGTGGAGGGATGGGCGGTCGGTCAGGGGAACCTAAGGAAAGACCAAGGAGACGAACGGCAGACTGTGGCTGCTGTGGCGGCTGCTGTTGCTGCTGCTGCTCCTTGTTCTCTCTAGGACCTCCAACTCCACCTTGGCTACCACCGGTACTCTCCGAAACAGCACCCCTAGGACTAGCAACCCCAGACGCACCACCCACAGAACCAGCACTCCCAGAGTCAGCACCCCCAAAACCCGCACCCCGAGAACCAGCACCCCCAAAACGAGCACCCCCAGAACCCACTGCCCACTGCTGCTGCTGCGGCCGCTGAGTCTGCTGCGGTGGCTGCTGCTGCTGCTGAGGCGAGGGGGGAGGCTGCGGAGGTGCCTGGGGTACTTGACCTGGGGGAGGCACCGCAAGGATAGCAGACGCAACCCCAGTAGGTGGGCCCCCAGAGTCAGCAGACTCCCCCACGGGCTCGACCGAGGGGAACGGAGTAGCGTGAGAGACACCAGACGGGGCCGGGCGGGGTGGGAGGGGTGCGGCAGGTGGAGCCGGGGCGAGAAGAGTGGAGGAAGAGGGACAAGAGAGCTGCAATTAGGGAAGCACCGGTAGTAGGGAGCGTCTCGTCGAAGGTATCACGCGGGCGGGAGAAGTGGTGGTATACCAGGTGGTATAAAAAAGCCAATCAGGGGTGTCAAGTGGAAACCCCAAGAAGACACAAGGAAGCATGCAGGTTGAGAGCTTGTCCGAGCCAGCTGTGCGGACGTGGGCAAGGCTGCCCTAGACGTGAAACGCCAACGCATCACCAGGAGACCCGATCCTGACGAATCGGTGAAACCTTTGGCCGCTGGGAGCGTGGCCATAAGTTAAGCTGGTGAGCAGCGTAGCGCACGGTGAACGGCCACTAAAAATGGGGTGCACCAGCATGGACCAAGGAGGTGCGAGCTACCTAGGTCGAAGCGTCGCTCATTGACCCCATTCTGCTGTGGGGATTCCGGCAGTGTGTACGTCTGGCAGATGCCCGACGAACTCGCCACCACGGTCAGAGTGTAAATGAACCATGGGCAGCCTGCGCTGGGTGCGAGTAGCGAGCAGCCACAGGAGGAGAACGATAGGCACGTCGGCCTTCCGCTCCGGCGGGAACACCGTGGTAAAATGCGAGAAGCCATCAACGACGACTAGTAGGTAGCGCTCCCGGCTAAGACCATGGACCAGGGCATGGCCCTAGACGTCCATCCGCTGTGTATTTAGCGGCGCTGTGATAGGAGGAAACAAGGAGTGAGGGACGGCGTGCTGCCGGCCCTCGACGCAAGAGGTGCACAAGGGCGTTACCGACGCAGGCAAGGCTGGGAGCAACGCGGGAAGACCAGTAACTAGACTGTGCCGGGACATGTGCCGAAGACGCAGGAGTGCAATATGACCTAAGCTGTGGTGCCACAGAAGGGTTGGGTGGGCGAGGGAGCGACAGGACCACGATGCGGCTACATTAGTGGACGCAGCAGCTGACGGTGACTCAGTATGCAGAGTAAAGAGACCTAACGCTGGGTCACGCTCAAAGATGGCGAGACGTCTACCAGTGGCTGCGTCCGTACAGGCTGCGTGTCTCGCGTAGACAGGGAACGTGGTGGTGACTGCTAGGTTCTGGATGTGATCTACACCAATTAAGGTCCTGGAAAACGAGGGGATGTGCATAGCACGACCACCATTCCTAGGGCCCGCCAAACCCCCCACAGCTGCTGCTGCGACCTCTGCCGCTGCTGTTGTGGCGGTTGGTGCTATTGCTGCTGCTGTGGCGGCTGTTGCTGCTGCTGCGCAGTCCCCGACTCTGACTGACCACCCTCTCTGTCTGTCCCTACACCCCCTCCACTTGCCGCTGCCGACGCCCCACGACCCTTGCCCCCCTTGCCCTTGCCTCTGGCCTCGTGGAGCGACTGAGTGTGGTGGCTGCTGCAGCGGTCTTGGTGACCTCCGCAACAGAGACAGAAGCCCCACAGACAGGGAGCTGGGGGGCAGAGCAGACCTGAAAGACGGGGACCGCTACCGTGCCAGTGGTGGCAGCGATGACATCGAGGCACGACTCAACTATCGTCAGGGCCTTGGAAAACTCAGCGATAGTGAAGGAGGTGGGGGGCAGGGCGAGGAGCACGTCTCGCGCAGGGGCGAGACGGTCAGGAGGTACAGGGTGATGTAGGTGGGTGGAAAGTGGGTGGTGCGGTGCTCCTCAAGGTAGGCTGTACGCCATCAAGCCTCAAAAGAGTGCAACTGCGCTACGAGGTCCGCTAAACGGCATCACAAGATGACCTAGAGTGACGGAGGACTGGGTAGAGTAACGAGTGAGAACGACGTCCCAGATACCCTTAGCGGACTCGAGCATCTCAAAGTACAGTAAGCCTGCTCATCAAGAGGGAGGGCCCTAGTGACTGCCAGCTGCGCAGCTGCGTCGCGGGACTGCCAGACAGAGGGGGCGTCTAGGGCAGTCTCGAACTCAGTCCGCTGCGCGGACGTCGCGTCAGCAGCAAGAGCAGCGGGCTCTGGGGAAGCGACTAACTTACCCGAAGTGTGGGCCACCAGGGCCTGGCCGTCCTGGCGGATAGAGTGAGCTGGCGGCGGAGGGCGACCAGCCAGGCAGAGAAGCCAAGCGCGCGATCCTCGGCGTCCAGGCGGAGGACAGAGGCAGGCGGGGTCGCCATGGCGGCAGCTGGCGGCGGCGACGACTGTAGCGGAGACGGCAGCGGCAAGCTGCTAGAGACGGCAATAGGAGGCCGCTGACAGCAGCAGCTGGCGGCGGCAGCGAGAGGCTAGTGTGGCGGGAGCAGGAAGCTGCGAGTAGGGGCAGTAGGCTGTGGCGGCAAGCTGCTGCAGTGGCAGTGGCAGCAGGCAGCAGCAGGTGGCAGTGGGCAGCAGTAGGCGGCAGTGGGCGGCAGTAGGTGGCAGCGGGCTGCAGTGGCTGCGGTAGTGGCAGCTGCAGCGGCAGCGGGCAGCAGGAGGCAGCAGCGGGCGGCAGCAGCTGCTGCAGTGGCTGCGGCAGTGCAGCAGGAGGCAGTGGGCGGTAGCGGGCGGGAGGAGCTGCGGCAGTGGCAGCTGCAGTGGCAGCGGGCGACAACGGGCAGCAGCAGGCGGCAGGAGCTGCGGCAGCGGCAGCTGTAGCGGTGGCAGCAAGGGGGGCTGGAACAGGCAACAGCGGGCGCCAACGCGTGGCAGCGAGCGGCGGTGGCTGGCAGCAGGCGGCACGCTGTAGCGGCTGCTGCAGCAGCTGCTGCTGCGGGCGGCAGCGGGCGGGGACAGCGGCAGTGGCAGCGGCAGCAAGCGTCCGCGGGCGGCAAGCTGGCGGTTGCAGTGGCAGCGGCAGCGGGAGCGGCAGTGGTAGCGGGCGGGGGCAGCGGCAGCGGGAGCGGCAGTGGCAGCGGCAGCGGCAGCGGCAGTGGCAGCAGCAGCGTCCGCGGGCGGCAAGCTGGCGGCCGCAGCCTGGCAGGGGCGAGCAGCGAGCTGGCGGCTCTTGGCTTGCGGCGGCGTGCCGGCGGCATGCTGGCTGGCGGCTGCGAGCTGGCTGTCGCTGGCTGGCGAGAGGGCGGCAGCCAGCAGGCGAGGCGCACGAGCGGCGAGCAGGTGCGGAGTGGACGGGCAAGCAGGCGCGGGCGGTGGCCAGCAGGCACGGAGCGGCGGGGAATGGGTGGGCGAGCTGGCGCTGGGCAGCGCGGGCTGGCGCGAGCTGGCGACGCGAGCTAGCTACGGGAGGGGAAGTGGCTAGGGGCTGCTAGAATCGGCTAGGAGCGGCTAGGGGTGGCTAGGAGCTACATAGTTAGGAGCGGAAGCGTGAGTAGGCGGGACCTAACCTTGCTCTACGTATATGTTAGTTGACACTCTTGGCCGACCTTGACATGACAACCTTGTGATTTCAGGTTGACAACTCAATTGTGGAGTCCTTTGCTCAAGGAGGAAAGTCGGCCATAACAGCGAGAGCTTACCCAACCCAGGAATCAAGCAGAATTTGTTTAGTCAACAATGGGTCAACAACGCCTCGTCGTGAAGAGCAAAGACAGGCTGTGGTGTGGTGCATGTGCAAGTCAAGGCGTGCACTGGGTTAGTCATGTATGGATAGCAACTGCTGTTATAGCTGCATTGGTTCAACACATTGTAGTAGTGGCATAGACGGCATGTACACACTCTAGTTCTTGAGCAGCTATGGTACGTAGGTCAAGAACCAGCATAAGTGGGGCATGCTGAAATCACTGTTGTAATTGCTGAGGGGTCAGTTGGGCACATGGCAAGCGGACAGTTATCAGAAGATGTTACGCCAGCACCCCACCAGGCGAGGGAAACAGAAGGGGTTTCAACTTGAGCCCCAAAGAAGATGAAAAGCGCCATGAACATTACTCCTGAATCCAGCGCTGCAGAGAGGACATAATTGTAACGACGCCACCAGTCCTGAAAGCAAAGAAAGAGAAGACTTTAAGAGGGAGGTAAGTTAAGGTTTAACAGCAGCAAAAAGAAGCAGCCACATACAATGTGGCAAAAGCACGCTACCTTTCTGTAAGTGAAAATGAGCTTGTTGAAGATGAAGCCCATGGTGATCCACCCGATGTAGTTGATGGGCGTGGCAGGGGGCATCATACCCACGCCCGTCAGCATCACTGGGATGTGCACCTTGGTCAGCCACTGCAGGGAAGGAAATGGGTGTGGTGCAGGGCGCAGGGAGGAGTGAAGCAGGGAGGCAGCGAAGTCACGATAATCCTGGTGGTTCATGGGCGTAGCAGGGGGCATCATGCCGACGCCAGTGAGATGTGCAAGTCGATGGGGGGTGATAAGGCACTGCAAGCACAGGTGGTGGTGGGAAGCCAGGCATCAAGCGAGGAAGGGGTGGTGGCAAGGGAAAGGCGAAGGCCGTATGCGATAAATTGGGAAGGCCGTATGCGATATATTGGGAAGGCCGTATGCGATAAATTGGGAAGGCCGTATGCGATAAATTGGGAAGGCCGTATGCGATAAATTGGGAAGGCCGTATGCGATAAATTGGGAAGGCCGTATGCGATAAATTGGGAAGGCCGTATGCGATAAACTGGGAAGGCCGTATGCGATAAATTGGGAAGGCCGTATGCGATAAATTGGGAAGGCCGTATGCGATAAATTGGGAAGGCCGTATGCGATAAATTGGGAAGCCCATACAAGGAATGAGAATGTTGTACAAGCGAAACGAGTCCCCAGATCCGAGTTCAAGTAAAGCTACAGTTCACAAAAAGCCTCAGATCACAGGGCCACTATGTGCCTTGTCAACTCATATTGTACCTGGGTTCACTCCCTGCCTACCGGCAACACACTCACCATCAGCCTGAGCCGGAACCCCATCACCTGAGCCAACCCCCCATCTGCATGCATCAACCCCCCATCTGCATGCATCAACTCAACTCCCCATCTACATGCATCAAACCCCCATCTGCATGCATCAACTCCCCATCTGCATGCATCAACCCCCCATCTGCATGCATCAACCCCCTATCTGCATGCATCAACCCCCCATCTGTATGCATCAAACCCCCATCTGCATGCATCAACCCCCCATCTGCATGCATCAACTCCCCATCTGTATGCATCAACCCCCCATCTGCATGCATCAACCCCCCATCTGCATGCATCAACCCCCCATCTGTATGCATCAAACCCCCATCTGCATGCATCAACTCCCCATCTGCATGCATCAACCCCCCATCTGCATGCATCAACTCCCCATCTGCATGCATCAACCCCCCATATGCATGCATCAACCCCCCATCTGCACACATCAACTCCCCATCTGCACACATCAACTCCCCATCTGCATGCATCAACCCCCCATCTGCATGCATCAACCCCCCATCTGCATGCATCAACAACATCAGACTGCATCAACTCACCACTTGCCGCTGCCAGAGCTTGAGCAAGGCCCAGAAGGGATGGGCGCGAGGGCTCCCCCTAAGAACCACCGTCTCGCTGTCAACCCACCGTCTGTTGAGTCATCTGAGAATCTGCTGGCAACAGCTCACATACGCCCAAGCCAACCCACCGTCTGTCGCGGCCAGAGCTTGTGCAAGGCCCAAAAAGGGATGGGCGCGAGGGCTCCCCCCAGGAACCACCAGTTGAGGTTGTTGTAGAAAGCATTTGGCCCGAACATGCGCTCGGGACCAATGAGCCCCCAGATGATGGACGCCGAGTAGAACACGTTGGCCGTGGGACACGTCCAGGGGGAGTTCTCGGGGAAGTTCTCATCGTTTATCTGTTTTTTTGGGAGGGGGTGGTGGGAGCGGGGCGTACATAGCTAGCGTACTTAGCTAGCGCACAGCGTACTTAGCTAGCGTACTTATCTAGCATACAGCGTATTCGTATTATACGCTAGCGTATATATGCAATACGCTAGGCTGCCCAAGCGTATTTCTCCACTTAGGCGGGGGGGTGGACGGAGTGCAGGCAGGGGAGAATACACAGATGATCCTTGAGTTGCCAGGAAATACAAAGGGACTGGGCTTGAGTTCTCGGGGAAGTTTTCATGGTTGATCTGAGTGAAGGCAAGGGTGTGGCCGATACAGGATTGACAGGGGAGTGCTGAGGGAAATTCTCGGGGAGCATCTCATTGTTGATCTGGTTAAGGGAAGGGGCAGCATGGGCCACTTTTGAGTGGACTCCAAAGTTACCTCTGGTGAAGGGAAGGGGGGAGCACGAGCCAGGAAGTGGGAAAATCTTCATCGTTGCGTTGAGTGGGGGGGCGGAGTGAATGCGGGTGGGAGGTGGGGGGGGTTTTGTGCGGAGGATGGGTGGGCAGGGGGAAGTGCATGGAAGACATGGAAGATAGTAGACACGAATGCAGGAGGGGGAAGTGGAGCGAGAGTCATAAGGGCTAGGCCGATGAGGAGGCATGTCGCAATGTAGAGCGGTACTCAAACATGAGGGGAAACTCATGTGTGAGGAGGCATAATCCGTCTAGACATGAGCAAAATGTGATGCGAAATTTAATCGCATCGCATTTTATTTTATCACATGCGATGAAACATCGCATCGCGCGATTAATTCTCCTGATTTTGGGATATCGCATATCGCATTTCGGGTGCGATAAATAGTAATATCGCAAATGTTAGTGCGATTTATCGCTCGATGCGATAATATATCGCATCGCATTTACTGCATGTGGAAAAAAAAACTTGGAATTTGACCAGGCGGAAAAAAAGAGTGCGGAAATTCGACACAACCCTGGCAAGATTTCGCGCTGCGATTATTTATATCGCATGCGATATAATAATATCGCATATCGCATTTTTATCGCACGACACATGGCGCGGTAAAAATGCGATGAAAAATATCGTGAGATAAATATCGCATCGCATCGCGCGATGTAATTTTCAGGGAAAAAATAATCGCAATCGCAAAAATGCGATATTTTTGATGCGATATGCGATGTGATATGCTCATGTCTAAATCCGTCCTAGTGCACCTCATCCCACGTTGCATATGAGGCCTCCTTCCACAGTGTTATAGAGCCACCAAGCCGTGCCGAGATTCACCAGGGCAGGCAAACAAATGCACCAAATGCACGCACGACTTTGCCCACCTTGCATATGAGCCCACCTTGCATGTGAGCCCACCTTGCATGTGAGCCCACCTTGCATGTGAGCCCACCTTGCATGTGAGCCTACCTTGCATGTGAGCCCACCTTGCATGTGAGCCTACCTTGCATGTGAGCCCACCTTGCATATAAGCCCACCTTGCATATGAGGCCTCCTTCCACAGTGTCGTAGAGCCACCAGGCTGTGCCGAGATTGACCAGGCCAGCCAAAATAGTGGCGAACACCTGCACTGCGAACATGGCTTGTGGGGGGATCTGTGCACACACATACACATGCACACAGAGAGTATGTTTGGGGCAGTTAAAGAGCACTGCAAACATGGGATATACATATACAGAGGCATGCACTAGCACACATGCACGCACATACTCATGCACCCAAGGAAAGAGGCAGAGATTTGAGAGACACCCGCAGATCCACAAAGCCATAACCATGCTACGAGCGGATGGAACTTTTTCCAAAGGCAGATTCGGTGAGTGAAAAAAGGAGAATGGCTGGCAAGGAGGAGGGAGGAAGTAGATGTCTGCTAAGGAATTTTGAAAAACATGATAATTTTCTCTTCGAGATTCCACAGAAATCATGAGAAATTTGCCCACATTCATTAGCAATCCAATGGCCTGTGTCGTGCTGATGTATCATGTACCCATGCGCCTTGAAACACACGCTTACCGGTTCCCCCAGCCGCAGATCATTTCCGTGGGACACCCACACCTCACCAAACCTACATCCATGCTACCAGCCGTGTAGTCAAAACTTCATAAAGGGCAGACGCCTCAACATGCTGGGAAAGAGAAAAATGATTGGCAAGAGAGGGAAGGAAAAAACCAACCTTCATGTAATGGCCGAGTTTGAAATCCTGCAGGAAGGCAATGGCCTGCGTCATGCTGATATAGCCATACGTCTTGAAACACACGTTGCCGATGGGCTCGCCTGGTCTTATGTACCCCCAGATCATCTCCGTGATTATATTGAGCCCCGGCTGCTGGTTGGTGGTGGCCGTGACTATGCCGATGGGGAGGGTGAAGAAGAGGGAGAGCGCGGCTGAGAGCAGCAGGCCCCACCAGGGGAGCTGGAAGAAGGCGTTGAGCTCGAGGAAGGCTATGCAGACAGCGAGGTTGACTAAAAGGAGGATGAGGAACCACCACCAGGGGACCTTGGGGTAGCGCTGCATGAGGCGTGTGTGCACGTCTGGCTTTACCTCAGTGGCTGCAGAGGGGAGAGAAAATGGGAACGCATGGAGAAAAATCATATGGTTTGGTTGTGGTGTGGTTGTGGTTTGGTTGTGGTTTGGTTGTGGTTTGGTTGTGGTTTGGTTGTGGTTTGGTTGTGGTTTGGTGAGCAAAGTGAAGAATCATCCACAACTAGTCTCCCCATAACCAGCTCCTCACATAAAGTGAGTCACCCACCTGCACTCATGGTGTGCTGGTAGATCTCGAGGCCCTACCACAGCACCACATGCACCAGCCAGCACACACCAACATTTCTTCATCCATGATTCCCAATTTCCAAACACCCAACACCCCCCACCCACCTGCACTCATGGTCCTCTGGAAATGCAAGGAAATGCATGTCACTGCTGGACTACGCGGGTACGTGCACCCGTGCATTGGTGTGTGTCACTCTGTCTACCTGTGAGCGTGTACAGGAGCTGATGGCAACCTCCAGGGCAGCGACACCCGATGCTCAGCAAACCCTATGCCCCACCCACCTGCCTCAAGGTATGGCCTGGGCGGGCACGTACCAGAACACTACCTGCACCGCACTACATACACCCATCCATGACACCACCGATCCACGATCTACCCGCTCTTGCCCTCCCCTTCACCCACCTGCACTCATGGTCCTCTGGTATATCTCCGGCCCGTACCACAGCGCCACATGCACCACGGTCGCAGTCAGCGCAGCGAACCCGAGGCCATAGGCCAGCGCAAAGAACACCGAGATGTACGGAGCCAGATTCTGCTGCGCGTACATCGTCTCATTGAGCCGGAAATCCGAAGTGATAATCTCGTCCACGGGGTAGAGCGCCCCCGACCACTGGTAGGTGCCGGAGGAGAGGAAGGGGAAGCGCGTGGCGGCGAAGACATCCCCCCAGTAGCAGATTGGCACGAGCACGTAGAGGAAGAGCGCAAAGCCCACCGCGATGTTGAGGATGGCGAACCAGGGGGCCGCGAGGGGAGAGGAGAGGAAGGCTGACATGGTGGCCCAATCTAGAGTGATGGCTCCCAGACCCATGCCCCTGAGACCTGGGGAAGGGTGTGAGTGTGAGAGGGGGAGAGAGGAAGGGGAGAGGGAGAAGGGAGAGGGGGAAGGGAGAGGGGGGAGGGAGAGGGGGACGGGAAGGACGAGAGTGGGGGAGAGAAGTGGAAAGGGAGTGCAGAATGAATGAAGGGGTGGCTGGCAGGGGGCGAGGGGCAGTGATGGGGATGAGGACGTAGAGGAAGGAAGGGGAGGCCCGTGGGCCAGTCGAGAGTGATGCACCCATGCTGCTAAGGCCGGTGGGTGGTAACAGGGGTGTAGGGGAATGGGGGAGGAAAGGGGGGTGTGGGTGCATGGAAAAAAGAAGAGCAGGCATGGTGGGCCGGTCTAGCAGGATGTCTCTGATGCCCATGCCTCTGACACATGGAGGGATGGAGTTGGGTGGTGGAGGAGGGAGCGAGACGAGAGTGTGCGAGAGAAAGGAGAGGTGTGGGGGGAGGAGAGGAGGAGTGTGCTGAGCAGAGGGCAAAGCAACCAGCCTGAGCATGCTGAGCGGTGAATGTGATGGGCTGGACCCAGCAGAACGATGAGACGAGGGAGGTGGGAGGGGAGGCGAAGGACCGGGGAGAAAAGGGGAGGGTAAACCAACTTTACAAGCCCAGCCCAGCACACACGCCCAGCACACGCGCCCAGCACACAAGCCCAGCACACACGCCCAGCACACACGCCCACCTGAGCCGAGCTGCTGCGCGGTGATGGAGGTGGGCCAGACCCAGCAGACCCAGGAGAGGCAGGAGACGATGGGGATGAGGTAGCCGGGCACGAGGTACCAGCAGAAGGAGATGGCCGTTATGAGGAAGAAGAAGTGCGCGCGGGTCAGCATGCCGCGCGCAGGGGTGTCAGATTCGTGTAGCGTGCTGGATTGGAGGGGCGGGGGGGAGGGAGGGGGGGGAGAAGGGAGGTACCAGCAGAAGGAGATGGCCGTTATGAGGAAGAAGAAGTGCGCCCGGGTCAGCATGCGGCGTGCTGGGGTGTCGGACTCATGGAGGGTGCTGGTGAGGAGAGGGAAGGTATGGGATGGAGGGGAGGAGGGGGGCGGGGGTGGGGGGTGGAGGGGGGAGGTGGCAGCAGCAGAAGGAAATGGCCGTTATGAGGAAGAAGAAGCAGGCACTTTGTAGGTATTCCCCATGCAGGGGTGTCACACTCGTGGAGGGTGCTGGGTGGGAGAAGGAGGGAGGGAAGCGGAAAAAGGATTTGGCACCACGAGGGACCAGCAGAAGGAGATGGCCATCGAGGAAGAAAAAATGGCGAGGGTCAACATGCCCAACGAGGGTGTCTGACTCGTGGAGCGCGCTGGTTAGGATGGGGGAGGGAGGGGAACGGGAGAGGGGGAAAGGGATGTGGCGCCGCGAGGTACTGCCAGCAGAAGAGGATGGCCGTTATGATGAAGAAGTGCTGGGGTGATCATGCAGTGTGCTGCTGGGGTATCCCAGGGTGCTAAGATGGGTGAGAGGAGGAGCGAGAGGGGGGAGGGACGGAGGGGGGGAGAGGGAAAGGATATGGCACCAGAAGGAGCACACAGTGCAGGACGGCACGAATGAGGAAAGGATGGGTGGGAGGAGGGGAGAGGGGGAGGTGAGGAGAGGCGAGGGGAGGGGGGAGGGGAGGGGTGGAGGGAGGCAGGGAGAGGCATATGCGTGGTAAGGGGAGCAGGATTACCGGTAGAGGGAGACGTAGACGAGGTCAGTGGGCCACCACATGTGGGCCGGCTCCTGAGGGAGGGAGGGAGGAAACGGCTAAGGGTGGGTGTGAGATGCAGCCCGTGAGGGGGAGCGGCGCATACCAGTAGAGCGAGACGAAGACGAGGTCAGTGGGCCACCTGGGAGGATATTGGGGGGTAGGAGGGGGCGAGAGAGGAAGGGCTGACAGCGACAAAGCACCTCCCCTGCCAGCCCTTCGTCTCTGTCAGCGACAAAGAGGTTGAGCAGGGAGCGACAGGGGAGGTGCTTGCTACAGGGACAGGTACGCGTGGTCAGTGGGTGGGGCGGTTAAGAGGACAGTGGGGTGGCAGAGACGGCAGTGGTGTGGCTGAGAATGAGAGAGGGGGGAGGGAGGAGTGCACATGAGATCATGTCTGCGGGACGGAGGTGGCAACGTGGGCTGGAAGCATGCACTAGTCAAACACAAGGGCTCACCACGAGGTAGCGCCTGAAGAGGCCCGCCCATCCGTATCCGAGCACTTGAGTGGTGGTGACGAGAAGAAAGGCCGGGAAGAAGCCCAATTGCTGGTGGGGAGCGACAGAGGCGTGGGCGGAGAGAGGGGAGAGGGGGGCAAATGGGGGAAGTGGGGGGGGGGGGGGGGGGGTTTGTGGAAGGATGGGAAGAGAAACAGTGGGGAAATATTAAACAAGGGGGACGAGGAGGGAGAATGGAGGGTAAAGAGGAAGGGAGCTGGGGGAGGGGGGTGGGAAGGCGGGAACAGGTAGACGTGCAAACGCGGTAAGGACACGTGGAGGGGGGGGATTAGGCGTGCGGAGGAGCGAGGAAGGGCATGCACGCAGAGGAAGACAACGAGGCGAGATGGACGCACAGAGGCTTGAGGGCGCGGCCATGGGGGCATGAGAGCATGGGGGCATGAGGGCATGGGGGAATGAGGGCATGCGGGCATGAGGGCATGGGGGAATGAGGGCATGCGGGCATGAGGGCATGGGGGCATGAGGGCATGGGGGAATGAGAGCATGTGGGCATGAGGGCATGGGGGCATGAGGCCATGGGGGCATGAGGGCATGGGGGCACGAGGGCATGGGGGCATGAGTCTATGGCGGTACGCCATGAGATGAGGCGGTACACCATGAGATGAGGCGGTACAGCATGAGATGAGGCGGTACGCCATGAGATGAGGGTACGCCATGAGATGAGGCGGTACAGCATGATGAAGGAACACTCGACTCACGACGTTGTAGAACTGCTTCATGATCGTGACGATGTCAATGGCATACGCGTTGCCGTTGCCGAATGCCGACCCGCAGTTAGCAAAGATCCCTATCAGCACATGCTCCTGGCAGACACAGCGGGCAAGAAGCAACACCATGCATGCAGCACACACAGGCCAGTCGCACATGCTGCTGAGAAGCAACGAACGGGGTGCGGCACTCGGCGACGGTTTGGAGCAGGACAACCATGCCAGTCTACTTGCAGACGACTCTGGCAGGCAGCCGCAGGCTGGCTATCCATCCACACACCTACCCATACAGCCATCCAAGCTCTCTTGCGCAACTGTCATGATCCATCCATCCACAATGTATGCACGTCTCCATAATCGCCTTGCATGCTGCACCCACACCACCCACAAACACCTGCGCCACACACATCACCTTGCACACACTTCATGTGGCGCCTCACGCATGCAACTGCGCGTGCATGCATGCATACACACATCGCACATTCATATGACCACGTGCGCTTGCACCAACCCGGCATGCCGGCATCACCTAACCTTGATGTTTCACGGCTGCGCGTCGGGGCCGAAGCGCCACTCTATCCTCGCTAGGAAGCAGACCCATGCATCATCTCAAGCACGGGCCACCCCACACCTGCATGCACACAAGTATGCACCAATACAGGAGAGCACATGTACATGTGTGCATACCCCCCACCTCCCCCCCTCCCCCCTTTTCCCCACCTTTCCCCCCCTCTCCCATCCATTCCCCCCCACCCCTCAACCTCCCCCCGCCCCCTTCCTTCTCTAACGCACACACAGCACGACGACCTCACCTTGACACTAAACGGCAGGGCGTCAGGGTTGAAGTAGCGGCGTTCTATCCTCGCTAAGAGGCGACCCATGTAGAGCGATAGGATGATGGCAGCAATGGGGTTGATGATGATGGACTGGGTCCTGCAGAATATCAACAAGCACACAGGGCAGGTTAGTACAGTACAGTTGATGAGGCCTTGGAGCACGTCACATCGCCATGCAATTCTCGTGCATGAGCATGGGTGGGTGGGAGTGCGTGTTTGCAGGCAGGCAGCACAAGTGTCTGCTTCTTTTATCGTGCTGCCTGGGCATGGGATAGGATCCTGTGTTTGCAGAGTTGCTCGCTCCCAGGTGGCAGGTCCCAACACGAGCTGGAGTTCCTTCCTCTGCCATTTGCATCGTTAAAACGCATGCTTCCACGCCAAAAGCACTGGAGCAGATTACCTAAGAAAGGCTCTACCTGAAACAAAAGCATCGTCTCATTTTGGAATCTCACCTGAACCAGAAGTACTGGTTGACGAAGGCGAGCAGCGCGCAGACGATGCTGCCGATGATCATGACGCGGTAGGTGAAGCACGGCAGGGCGGGGTCGTCAAAGGTCGCCACCGTCAGCGCCACCTCCTCCACAGGGGACTGGTCGTCGTAGTCACCCTCCTCGCCCTCCTCCTCCTCCTCCTCGTCCTCTTCGTCCTCCTCTTCCCCTTCCTCCCTTTCGTCGTCCTCCTCCCCCTCGTCTTCCTCCTCTCCGTCTGTATACGCTTTCTCGTTGCCATCTTCGTACTCCTCGTCCTCGCCTTCCTTCCCTTGCCCGTCCTCTGGCTCTCTCCCCTCCTCGGCTGCTTCTCTTCCGCCCTCCACTTCGTTCTCCTCCTCCGCTGCCTCCTTCCCTCCCCGGTCGTCACTCGCCTGCTCTTCTCGCCGCTCCTCCTCCCCTACTTCGTCCGCATCCTCCTTCCTCCTTCCTCCTCTCTCCCCGTCCCCATCCTCTCCTCTCTCGTCTACCGCCTCCCCCTCTGCCCCCCGTTCGTCCCTCCCCTCCGCGCCATTCGCCCCCGCTCTTCGCTTCTCCGCGCCATTCGCCCCCGCTCTTCGCTTCTCCGCGCCATCCTGAAAGCGCGACATTGCGGCAATGGAACAATGAGGCAATGCGGCAATGCGGCAATGCGGCAATGCGGCAATGCGACACCGCAACGAAAAGGGGTCGCGACCGCCGTAAAAGGGGAAAAAACTGAAGATACGGACGAGGGACGAGCGACGAACGACGAACCACGGGCGACGAGCGACGGGCGACGAGCGACGGACGAAAAGCAAGGTCCGGAGACTGAAGAGCGTATATTGAAGCACCTACGGCACGGAGAACTGCTTGCTGCGGCGGAGAGAGAAAACGTCACAGCTAGTTTTTTTTTTTCGATGATAGTAGCACATGCGGTAAGTCACAGGCAGTTCAGGACTCTACTCCGCGCGGATGCAGCTGACGATCTATTTCGATACAATAGCACGCACCTCGGACTCGGGTTCCGCCGCCATTGACGGGCGTGCACAACTCTGCTAGTAGCAGACGAGCTGCCTGAGCGTCGCGAGCTGAGCGTCGCGAGGCGGCAGGAGCTGGCGACGAAGGGGTATCTCACGCTGGTGAGCTTTCTCCGGCCCTTCACATCTCAGCCGTACAAAAACGAACGTCTACCCAGAGTGTCCTTGACAGGATAGGGTGCCATATCAGGAGCTTTGCCTACGCCAGCATGCGATGCGAGGTCTGAGAGTAAAGGCCCGCAGCAAACTGTCAGAGCAAGTGCCTGTCTTAGACATGCCTGAGCTGAAAGGTAATAGGCAGGGTGACTCGGTTACCGATCCCCTTATGGCGAACGCATCGTACTGTCATCTCGTTGGGCGATTTCTACTACATTCATTGGTCACTTGTGCTCGATGTTACTCGCTACCCGACCTAATGGGTCATTTGCTGAATCCTATCTTCGTTTGTGACTGTACTGGTCAACCTCGACTAGTGCAACGACCCCTAAGGCAAACATTCGCACTGGGCAACTATTCGATAAGAGCACCTCCAAAGAATGGTGCCTATAGACATGGATTGTCTACATGGATGTAGACAACAAACGTCTAAGTTTTCACTTCCTTCCAATGATTTTCCAACAATTTTGGCTCCGTTGTTGATGATCGAGCTCGCATCACAATTCACCATTCTCTCATCTTACATTTGCTTTAAACAGACTCAAGTTGGACTGAGCCAAGCTCGCCTCGGGTCGAGCCAGGACTGTGTAGTCCATGGAAAAGCGTCCGAGCCAAATTAGCCCGCCTTAGCTGGTGGTGCATTACACAAGCCGAGCTGTCGAGCCGAGGCCCTTTGCGCTTGTCTAAGTCATGTCTCAAATGAATGAATAAATATTTGCTTGAACCTCTCAACTAGTTCGCCATTCCTAATACCATAACCCCCCGTATGTAACACCGGCCGAAATAGTCACTCCATGGGTGGCTTATGCGGGGGATAGCTTATGATATGGTACATTTTTTAGAGTACCCACATTTATGGGTTTGCATTTTACATAACACCCTGCTCGTTTTTCTTGCCTTCAAATAGTATTTGGTCATTCATTACCGAGGTCCGCTCAGTTGCGAAAAGCGAGCAGGATGAAAATCGCGTCGATTGCCATTAGCAGTGCAAAGACGGGCAGAAGAATCTACACAAGTGGCAAAGAAAAATCGAAAGGCAGCAAGTGACGAGAGGATCTCGACCGTCCATCTTGCAAATGAACCACCTCGATCACGTCAGCAATGGTCGAGAATACCATCTCGACCGCTTTCGGAGGCACAGAACTGACTCCGTTCACAACGCTCAATGGAGATTGGTCAAGGGCGCCTTTCACTGCTGAATCAATCTCCTGCCATTTTCTGATGCACCGGACTTGTTTGACATGGGGTTGACTTTTTGTCCACTTGCCTCGACTAACAACAGATCCACACGGATGGGCGGTGGACGAAATGCTCCAACCCACACAGATTTGTGTGGGTTTTCCGTGCTAGTCAAAAGATTGACCGACTCAACTCATTTTGTACTCGAAGAGGAAGCGCGGTCGAGTGGAGTGATGCTTGCGAAAAAACTTGATTCGTCCTGAGGACGGGCCAAGTCGAAACTCGACTCTTTTGTTCATGCCTCGGTGTAGTGCCTGCAGGTTGGTCTGTTGTTGCTAGATTGTTGGTGGTGTCATGGGTGAGCGTGACAGTTAGTCAGAATGGGACGTTATGTGACCAACATAAGAACGAGTTTGCTATGTGACGTTATGAGTTTTCTCAAGCAACATTGGTATCCCAGCTACTTTCAGTTTGCTTCTTTCCAACCAGGTTACCAGGTGCAATACAGTCTTCGCTACACTGCTCGTATGACCCCCTATGCCCCATTGACCTCTTATCAGGGATGTCGGCAGAAACGAATCCAGTGGGAGCATTCCAGACTTCATTGGCAAGCTTACACAAGTCATTCATTTGTGAGTGCAAATCCTTCCTCGCTGACGTGTAAGCCACACGCAGACTCCATATCCCTAGTTTCTTCACCAACAGGCTTAGAATGGAAGTATGCACGCTTGAAATGCTGTGCTTTTCCATGGCATCTGAACTCTTTGAATGCATGTTCCGTCGAACTGGCTGTAAGAGCTTGTGTTTTCTCTACTTCATCCTAGATAGCGCCGGCATTGGTGCTGATGCTCAAGCTCTCTAAAGTCAAGAAGTTTCAAGGGATTTTGTGGACTCGACACATAATCACTTCCTGCACCTCGTCACGCTGACGGTCACCGCACTTTAAGTCCGCTGTATCCTTGCTCAGTAACTCGTATCTTGGCTTTTCATCGCCCCTTTTAACGCTCATATGATACAAAATACATATACCTTTATGGAAACAAGCTGATTGGATCGATAGCAACAGTGGGCAACCTTCCATCCTTGACTGAATTGTGAGCCTCTAATGTTAAATCAAAGCGCTAAGAGATTCTTGACTCCTTACATGGGCTCATATGCCATTCGATCATTACACCACCTGGAGAATGCCATTTAATATGACTGGGCTTTTATATGCAATTCTACATTTTATTTCTTACGGCTGTATTGGATCAACTAGGCTTTGAACCAAACCGTTATTATACCGGAATATGTGTCAACAACGTTAACGACATGAACTACGTTGGGAAAAGAGGTGCTTCAATACTGCTGAACCCGCTAACTCATACAACGCCACATCTGGGTCAGCCAATAGGTGTTTGATGTAGGGGCCGCTAGGATTCCCTCGACCTCCAGACCATTAAGAGTGCAATGGAGTCATCTTGGAAACAAGAATGAACAACACCACTACAAGCTGCCACGCCAAGCTCTCCTGAGTCCTGAGCACTGTGTATTCAATTTGGGCACAAAGGACACCGAATGAGAACTACTTCAAGGTGTACAAAGAAAGTGTGGTGTGTGGTGAAATAACAATAGCAGTGGAAGACAAAGTTTGGTTAAGCATAGGATGGAATTGAGAAGAAAAAAGGACACGTGAACATGTCAATGTGGCCTTAAAAAAAAAACAATACATTTTTATATGTAAGTATGTACAAGGCCTTGTCTGAAATTCAACTAGCCTTTTTTGTACGGCTATACCATCCTATTCAGCTCACCTCGTCCTTGTCTGAGTTTCAATTTGTGTTGACAATAATTTCTCTTTGACTCTCATGTATCTGAGTTCTGGCTTTTGCTCTCTATTTGCACCCATCTCTTATGAAGTACAGATAGCTTCTTAGGAACAAACTGACTGGCCCAATACCAGCAACAATCGGCAACCTTCAGCGTTTGGGCTACTTGTGAGTATACATGGGCAAAATAAATTGCATCGCATCGCAACGCGTTTAATCGCATTTTTGTGATTGCGATTTATTTTTTTGTTCAAGTAAATCGCGCGATTCAATGAATTGTTTGTTGCTCGATTTGATTAAATCGCATTTAAATTGTGCTGGAAAATACGGTTTAAATACAATTTGCGATTTTTTTAATTGCCCACAATTTCGAAATACCACGGGGGCTCGCACCTGTGTGAAAACCATTACTATACCAAACTATTTATTTGCACTATCGCTTACAAATTACAACAGCTCGTGGTTTAATTTCCTGGCAGCCATGTTTTTTTTTTTTTTTTTTTTTTTTTTTTGGGTGGATTTTCATTCTGGCCTAGAACGTGATGCGATTTAAAATCCCATCATGCAAAACATTGTGTGCAGTTTTAATATACTACATGACACGTTGAACACGATGTGCGATTTTTTTTTTCCAGAATTTAAATCGCGAGATGCGCTTTTAAATCTCATCACTTTTAATGAAATCGCCCCCCAGCGCTATGCGATTTAGATCGCAATCACATTTTGTCCATGTCTACTTGTGAGCCACAACAACAGAGGAACTAGATGGCTCTTGTTTTGCCTCGTTCCTTAGGCTCACGTTCTTCTCTATCCTTTTATTCAATCTCACGCTCACAACATTCGACCTAAAATCTTTCCCCTTACTGAATGAAATATACTTTCTCCCCTCATTGCTTCCACCTTTCTATAACCATTCCCATGGTATTTCCCTCATGCCCGAACAGGGATCTAAGTGAAAATGGTTTGACGGGATCCATTCCATCCACCATGGCACGCATGAGTAGCTTGACATACTTGTAAGTGTTGCGACTTAATTGTTCATATGGTTGAAATGTGCTATTGCTCTACTTGTGAGCCACAACAACAGAGGAGCTAGATGGCTCTTGTTTTGCCTCGTTCCTTAGGCTCACGTTCTTCTCTATCCATTCATTCAATCTCACGCCCACAACATTCGACCTAAAATCTTTCCCCTTACTCAATCAAATATACTTTCTCCCCTCATTGCTTCCACCTTTCTATAACCATTCCCATGGTATTTTTCTCATGCCCTAATAGAGATGTAAGTGAAAATGGTTTGACAGGATCCATTCCATCCACCGTGGCACGCATGCGTAGTTTGACATACTTGTGAGTGTTGCAACATTTGATCGACTTGCTCATATAGTTGAAATATGATATTGCTCTTTTAAACGTGGTCCTTGGTTTCTCTTATGGTTCACATGAACTATGGTTCCTAGTTGCATTATTATTATTCATGAAAAGGCTTCGTATGTTATTGAAATGTTGTCATTATTTCATTTCTGTTTGTCATTTAGTACAAACATACACGTCCCATGCATTTGCCATCGGTGACATTTCCAGCATACTCACAAGTGAGCAGACCTTCTAAGTTTGCTCAAGCATACGTTGTCTTTCTATTTACCACTTTCGTTGTTGTTGATGTCAACTGTCGTGTGTTGACCTTCTGAATGCATGATTCTGTTACAGATTCCAGATTGTGTGTTTGCGATGGTTCTCTTTAGGTGTTTGGGAACTATTTGTCTTGAATCTTCAGCACTAGCCATTCTCGGTTCCCTTTGTTTCATCCATTCTCTCCTTGTCATCTTCACCAACCACCCACAACACAATATGCGGTTCTCTTTCTATGAAGAGTTCAAGGCCCTTCTTTGAACATACTGTCTGGTTGCATCTCCGTATCTTGAAGCTGCGTGCTGTTTTGTTTGGGTGACCTTTTCAGAAACCTCTATATGCACCCCTCTGCTATCCCCTCCTCCTCAGGGATCTGGCTTACAACAGCTTAATAGGCACCATTCCAGTTCTTCGGCAGCCGGCTGCAACTTTCTATGATGTGAGCACAATTCTCCTACTAGTGGCATCT